TAAAATTGAAATTAATATTTGATAAGACACGTAATCATTACTTTTAAAAGTTAAATAGTACATATTTCACTGCCTCGTTGGCCGAGTGGTCGCAAGTGCCGGACAAGGGGCCTCGGGTTCGATTCCCGGGTCGAGAAAAGAATTACTGGGTTTTTAAAAAATCTCAGTAGTAGCACGGAGTTTGGAATGGTGCCCGGTATGGCAATAGCCTCACCTCCTATTACATAGGCCTCATAACATAAACAGTCAAAAGTGGGTGTTACATTGTACAGTGGCATTTAAGTGCTGTAATGTGTACCTCTGCCTACCCCTTCGGGGATAAAAGGCGTGATGTTATGTTATTTTTATAAAGTACCTATCAAAATACTCAATATCTTAAATGTTTTTCTCAAATCACTTTTCAAAAGTCAGCATTTTCTTCTGACCTTATTCCTCTCATTTCTAATTACCATCAAATCCTTAGCTAATTACATAACGACTTGAGGAACATAACGAAGAAAAGACTGTTGTTTAACTTCAAATTGCACCACGTTTCTAAGATTCATTGTCTAATAAAAAATGTAAGGAATCCACTCTTCGCCTGCAGTCTACGTTCTTGCGTTTTACGCGCCCCTCGTGTCCGATTTCTCCCCGTTTCAATGACTTAGTCAGGTCCTCCGTCGTCATTTTTAATGAGAAGTTCTTATACTTTCTTTTATAAGTATCAGGACATGGTTTTATGGAATAATAAATGTATCCCAATGGGTTTTTTGCATCTCTCTCTCTGTTGTTTCAAAGAGTATTTTCTTGATGGTAGTTTTTCTTATCTGATTGTCTTGTTTCTTTGTTGCAAGTATAAATGTTTAGCACGGTCTTCTTTTTATAGAGTGGGAGGAGTATGATTAAGTTTTTTAAAGATTGGCATTGTGCCGAGTGCATAAAATTGTTCACGCTTCTTTATAATGTAACTGGAAATAAGTAGTTATACCTTAAATTTTTTTCTATCCTCCTGTATATTATTTAATTGACGTTAATATTTCAACAAATCAAAATCAGTATTGAATTCCTAGTAATACGTTAGTATTCTGATTACACCCTATAGTTGACTGTTGAGTCCTGCCAAGCAGTATTGTTTCCGCATGTCAAAGCATTTCATATTCAAGATTGGCAGCTCAATAGACTGACAGACATCACAGAACATTAGCTATATACGCATATAATAGTAATAAATGTACGTGCAGAACATATATTAATGTACCAAGTTCCAAAAATGTATGAAAGGAGATTGATTGGCAGACATGCATTATACAATGTATTCAAATTCAATTACTTAATTGCGAATTATTAAAAAAAAGATCTTACCCAACAAATGTAGATCTCTTCCCTCCAGTAACAAATAAGATACACTCATCAATATGATGACGTCATTTTAGAACAAATATAATTTTCAAACAATTTCAATGAATGTTTAATTCCCATTTACCGTTAGGTTTTCATCGTTAGTTAATTATAATAACGGTTGTTCTATAAAGGACACCTGTACCTACCATGTAGTAGTTAGGGCTTATAAAATAATCCTAAGCCCAATAAACCTACAACCTACAACAAGGGCACCAAGCAGGCTACTAAAGATCGTACAAGAAATTCAAGTATCCTTCTAATCGTGGAGAGCAATCGATTTCTTCCAGAGAACCAATACTTGAAACTTCACTCCACATTACGAACGTCAAAGCCACATTCAGACATTACGTGTTCTTGGCAAATTTTCCCCTCCAATTTAGCTTCGTCACGTATCACGATACAGAAGTACTCGAGAGAAAAAGGCAGGCAAATTCCACACGCGAACTTGTAAAGACTTTACATTGGTGAAATCGAATTTTTACGTTAAATAATACTTGTTATGCTGTAGACTTTTTGTTGCTTATTTTTTGGAAATAACAATCCACTCATTGTATCAAGAATTTTTAAAAATTCTTTAAATATTGTGTTTTTATTTCTTTGCTTTTGATGAAATATTAGGTTTACTGACAAGCACATCAGGAAAAATCTACTAACATTATAAATGCGAAAGTTTTCATGTTTGTTTATAACTTCTTCACTTAAAAACAGCTGAAGTGATCGAGATTATGTTTGGAACACAAAGGCCAATGTCATCCCACGCAAACGTGGACGAAGCAGCTGACAGAAGCTATTAGTGCATATTTCTTTATAACTTATGTTACCATATAGCTACAAGACATTCCGAACCCAATATGAGTTCTGTAACTTTACCATCTCTTGTGTTGAGTGGTCACTAGAACGAAAGCTAAAATGGTTTCGTTTCCTGGAAAATACATTAATAGAATTTTTGTTGTATGAGTGTTAGACTTGACTCTTAAGGTTAGGATGATAACAAACTCCAGTCATATTGCTGTTGGACTATCGACCTAATGAAATTTGCGTAAACTAAGTGCACTGCAACAAATAAAACAATTTATTAGGACATTTCTTCGAGGGAAGAACCAAAAGTGAATCTTTGACTTTGACTTTGATATTTACATAAACAATATTTATCATTGATGCTCTATTACCTCCTGCTGATCTCCTGTGTCTATGTTCTTACTCTTTAACATTAATATATTGCTTAAAATTAACAAAAAAATCTCCATTAGCTTACCAACTAAAGAAAACGTGCATACTATATAATGCAGTTCGTAGTATTGAATTTGTCATCGTCAAAGGAGTTTAGGTGCAGAAAATCTAAAGAACATAACTGAATAATTTTAGACGTAGTTCTCTTTCGTGAAAACCTTTTATTCGTGTCTGGATAAAAATGTAAAAACTGTCTCATATTAGGTACTACTATGTACTGTGTATCATGGCGTGAGTACATAGATATTTTAGGTATTTGAATGAAGTAGAGAAGTATTCTTGTCTTTTTTCTCCATTCGAAGTCCGAGTTATTTTTTTCTTTTTCATATTTGATGGGCCGACGTTTGTCTAATTATCTCGTCTGGTGGTAAGCGATGTTGCGGTCTATGAAGTCGACTTATAAGCAACCTTTTTACTCGGGCCTTGAACACACTCAAGTTATATACACAGACTCTGGCCAAGAATTGCACTCCTTAGCAGTACGCATAAGGAAGCTAGTTTAGAAATATTTCAAATAGTTGACAATCCATTGCTGGATTACTGAAGTACTGAGTCTCCTCTAAATAAATGTTTCCGATAATCTTTATGCTTGGCGTATAAGTCGTAGTTAGATTCAGGTTCAGCAGGGAGCATTGCTGCGTTTATGTCACAAACTTTCCTTTAACAGATGCCGTAAAATATTATATAGGTACTTAATTATTGAACACATATTAAAATTGTAACATAGCATAACATAAAATCATGCCTTTTTATCCCCGAAGGGGTAGGCAGAGGTGCACATTACGGCACTTAATGCCACTGTACAATGTAACACCCACTTTTCACTATTTTATGTTACGAGTCCCATGTAATAGAGGGTGAGCCTATTGCCATATACCGGGCACAATTCCAGACTCCGTGTTACTACTGAGATTTTTAAAAACCCAATAATACTTTGCCCGACCCGGGAATCGAACCCGAGACCCCTTGCCCGGCAGTCGTACTTGCGACCACTCGGCTAACGAGGCAGGCATATTAAGATTATCTTTGCAGTTAAAAATATATACCTATAGTATCACAAAAATTAAAAGTCCGAAATTGTTACTTATCTATTCAGCTGCTTATACATACATGAATACGGAACAAACAAAAACAACCATCAATACGCAACTAGATATATTTTTCTTCACTTTTCTTCACCTACATATTTGTTCATTCTTCCACAAAATTGCAGAAAGCAACCAATAATACTATATTCTTGGTTCACCCTCTATTGATACATTTCGGTCGTACCTTTAACGACGGGTATATGTTTTACGACAACCGGGACTTTGTGGGTACGTGGGGAAACCGACATGTTACCCACAGATCTATCGATCCATGTTGCTGATATAAGTTGAATCGAATTTGACCATTAGGATCTACTTTTTTATCCAATTTTGGGTAATGGACTCGACTATAATCATCATCGTCATGTCATCGTCAGACATTGTTGTGATGCTCTTGTAGCTGATAGGTCACAAGACGTCCTCGAGATTGTAATTAAAAATTAACTCACAGAAAATTTACGAATACTGTTACACCTCTGCCCACCTATTCGAAGGAAGCGCACATCAAATCCAATAAATAGTTGTGCCAAAGAAAAGGCAATTTATAGCAAAGGAAATAAAGTACAATTTTCTTTGCTCCATACATACAAATACACCCTAAGCAAAATGATTAGTTCGCCGCTCGAATGGCTTTCAAAGTAAAAGAAATTAATATTCTACGTCAATTTAGTAGCTAATATGGCACCATTTCATGTTGAATCATAAATGGCTTGTATACTTCTATTTATAATCGTTTTAGAGTGATATAAAACGTTATGAACCCACTCCCAATATTAACTCTCTAAGTTGAAATACATTACTGCTTTATGAATAAATATGGCCGCTAGCTTTTAACGGTCATAAAATTCAAATTTCGAAGTTCATTCACTATATCGTCCATTTTGTAGACCAGCCGTAGAATCTGCGTTAATGGAAAAACTAATATTTTTAAAAGCCTTTTGATATTATCTGTATATAAGTAATTCCGGTTATATCAAGTTTTAGTTCGTTTTATTCAATCCAAATTGTAGGCAATTAGTTCTAACAAGAAAATTGTGGTAAATATTTACCTGAAAATTATTACTTATGATAATAATTATTAATACCGGTAAACAGTCTTCTAGTTCATTTAAACAATCCACGAAAAGTCAACACAGAATCTCAATTCAATTTAAAATTAAAAAAGCACATTTTTTAAAAACTGTTATGTATGTATGTATAGATGCAAAGGTAGAATGCGGGCTGCGCCCCGCTTCCCCGCTCCGCTATGAAGTTTAGATAAAATAAACCAGTGTGCAACTAACTAGCGAGTTTACTTGGCGTGCGCATCGTTCCCTTACAAGGAGATACATAACACGTGGCGACGAGTGGACCCGCATTATTTTCACAAATATGTCTACCGGAACGACATACGGCGTGCTTTCTACATTTGATCACCTGTCTCAAGACTGGAATAGTTATAAGTTGCGATTGAATCAATGGTTTATCGCTAACGACATAACATCGGAAACGGACAAAGCGACAATCAAACAAAGGGCGATTTTATTGACGTCATTATGTGAATCTACGTTTAAACTCGCAACGGACTTGGCGTTACCCAACAAGGTGGAAGAATTGGGTTACGAGGCTATAGTAAAACTCCTCGACGATCACTTCACACCAAAAAGGTTCGGGTTTGCAGAGAAATCAATTTTCTATGCAGCTACACAGCGACCAGGAGAAACGCACACTCAATGGGCGGCCAGGATCAGAGGATTAGCGACTCACTGTGCATTCAAGAACTTGGAAGAAGCCTTGCTAGATAAATTTATCATGGGCATGGTGGCAGGACGTGAGCGGGAAAAACTGTTCGTGCAAGACCAGCGGGAGCTGACACTCGCGAAGGCCATTGACTTGGCAGAGAGCGTGCGCTGTGCGCGCCAGGCTTCGGCGCAGCCAGCGCCGGGCGTGTGCGCCGCCAGCGCACCGGGCCCCGACGTCGTCTTTAGCATTTCCAAGAAGGAAAAGTGTAACGTGTGTGGATTCACTAATCACAAGTCTGATCAGTGTCGGTTTAAAAACTATAAGTGTAAAAAGTGTAATAATAAAGGTCATTTACGTAAAATGTGTCCTAATGAAAGAAAAGTGAAGTACGTGGGTGAAGGTACTGTGGATGACGGAGACGACGACGGTGAGTGTTTTTATAATATTCGTTGCGTAAAAGGAAAACCTATGACGGAGCGTGTAATGATCAGTGGTCTAGCTTTGGAGTTCGAAATTGATAGTGGTTCAGCGGTGAGCGTAATATCCAAAGATACCTACAACATTCATTTCAAGCGATTGCCGTTATCAGCCACCAACAAAAAACTATTTAGCTATACGGGAGAAAACATCAAAACGATCGGAATAGTTTTATTACCCATATCTTATCTCGGGCGTACGCATACCCTCAACGTGTATATAGTGCACGCAAGCGGACCGCCGCTGTTAGGCCGCGATTTCATTCGGGCGTTCGACCTGGAGTTAGTGCCGGCGCGCGTACACGCCATGTTTGACTCAGAACAAACGGTACGCGAAGCTAATATGGATAAAAAACTTAGTAACATGTTCCCAAAAGTTTTTTCAGGTAACCTCGGAGCTTTTAACAAATATAAAATAGATTTACATTTAAAACCCGACGTTAAACCGATTTTTTTCAAAGCGAGGCCAGTACCTTACGCGTTAAAAGAAAAAATAGACAAGGAGCTCGACAGATTATTGTCATTAGGTATCTTACAGCCTGTTGAACACTCGGAGTACGCGTCGCCTGTTGTGCCGGTTTTAAAAAAGAACGGTAGCATCAGATTATGTGCCGATTACTCTGTTACAATCAATAAACAGTTGATAATAGATCAGTATCCTTTGCCGACGGTAAATGACTTGTTAGCCAAATTACACGGGGGCGTACAATTCAGTAAAATTGATTTATCTATGGCTTATAATCAGTTCATTTTGAATAAAGAATCTCAGAAGTTAACTTGCGTCAATACTCACCGCGGTCTTTTTAATTTCACTCGATTGGTATTTGGGTTGTCCAGCGCGCCTGCCATATTCCAGCGCGCAATGGAGTGTTTGCTCTCAGGTATCGATGGAATCATATTTCTACTTGACGATATTCTTATAACCGGAGAAAATAAAGACCAGCACATGCAGAGACTTATCACTGTTTTGCAACGCTTGGATGATGCCGAACTAACGGTGCAGATGAGTAAATGCGAATTTTTTAAAGATGAAATTTCATATCTCGGTCACGTCATAGATAAACATGGAGTTAGGAAGTCGCCCGATAAAGTTAAAGCTATATTACAAGCTCCTAAACCGACAAACGTGTCACAGTTGCAGTCGTTCCTAGGACTGACTAATTATTATAGGAACTTTGTACCGGACGCATCGTCCGTATTAAGTCCATTATATAATTTATTAAATAAAAATACGAAGTGGAAATGGACTCGCATTCACGATGACTCATTCAATCATATAAAAAACATATTAGCATCTGATAAAACATTAGCGCATTTTGATCCACAGGCAAAGTTAATATTAACAGTAGACGCGTCGCCGACAGGGTTAGGAGCTGTACTATCACAAGTGGGCGAAAACGGGTTAGAAAGGCCGATATCTTATGCTTCCCGGACGTTGTCGTCAGCAGAAAAAAATTACGCGCAAATCCAAAAGGAAGCGACAGCGATAATTTTTGGGGTAAGACGGTACCACCAGTATCTATATGGTCGGTCCCAGCCTTTCGTACTAAGGACAGACCATAAGCCCCTGTTAGCTATATTCGGGCCCCATAAAGGTATTCCCGAGGTATCGGCAAACCGCCTACAGAGATATGCTATATTTTTAGCTGCGTATAATTACACTATTGAATACATCAGTAGTAAGCACAACAGCGCGGATTATTTATCTCGAGCATACGGGGATGAGAACGTGACGCAGGCGCCGGACGAACTCGCAGAGTGCGAGGATCGCGCGGCGTACGTTAACTTCGTAATTGATGGGGACTTACCGATTACGTTGAGCGACTTGCGTAGTGAGACGGCTCGCGACACTCGGCTGACATCTGTCAAGCATTATATTTTAAACGGCTGGCCTAGGAAGATACATGACGCAGGGTTAAAACCATTTTTTAATTGTCGAACACAATTATCATACGAAAATGGTATCTTAATGCGCGGACATAAAGTCGTAATTCCATCGGTTTTTCAGGAAAGCATATGTAGGGAACTGCATAGTTCACATTTCGGTGTGGTAAAAATGAAAGCAGAAGCTCGCAAGCGGCTGTGGTTTCCCGGTGTGGACGCAGAGCTGGAGCGCATAGCGGCGGCGTGCGGCGTGTGCAGTGCGCTGCGGCCCGCCCCGCCGCACGCCCCACTCGCGCCCTGGCCGTTGCCGCCGCATCCTTTTTATCGGATTCACATAGATTTCTTGGGTCCGATTCACAATAACATGTTTTTAATTATTGTAGATGCGTACAGTAAATGGGTTGAGTGTTACGATATGTCATCATCACATAACTCCAAGGCGGTTATAAATAAATTATGTGATTTGATGTCGCGATTTGGAGTCCCACACACCTTGGTGAGTGATAACGGTACATCCTTTACATCCTTAGAATTTAAAGATTTTTGCAGTCTTAACGGTATCGAACATGTCTTATCGCCGGTATACCACCCGGCTAGTAATGGGCAAGCCGAAAGCTTTGTCAAAATAGTAAAAAAGGGGCTTAAGGCTATTATTTTCGAGGGGTGTAATAAAAAAACTATTAGTGAAAGGGTTTCGAAATTTTTATTCGATTACAGGAACTCTAAAAATAGCACCACTGGCAAGTCACCCTCAGAGATTGTATTCGGGCGTGCGTTGCGCTCGCGACTAGACTTGTTGAACACTAGCACACCGACACCGTCACCTTCGTCCACAGACCTAATTCAGACCGTCGCGCGTAATCAGTCCTTACAGGCTAAATACTATCGTGGTGTACAAAGACCTAATTATAAGCAAAATGAAAAAGTTTGGATCACAAAAAATACTAATAATAAGAAATACAGTTGGATTGAAGGAATTATTAAAAGACAAATCGGCAACGTACTGTACAGTGTGTACATCCCGCAGTTGAGGTCTGAGGTCAACAGACACACGGACCAGATAAGGAAAAGAGTGGACACTACACCGAGCGACGACTTAAGCTGGGACCCGGACGTGATACCGGATGTGGCACCACCGACTATCACTCACTCTGAGAGAGTTCCACCGCCGGAAGGGGAAGGAAGGCCGGATCCGGACCTTGGACAAGGGGCGACGTCGTCAGCTACACCGGTGACTCCACCACGCACCACCGCCTTGACTCAAAGGCGACGGGCTATAAGTCCTATCTTCTCGACACCTACAGAAAGCCAGTATGTCAGTGATGATAGTGATAGGACGAACCAACTGATACTTTAAGCTATAAGGTGTATGATTAAGTATAATTAGTTAAAAGTATTCATAGTTTAAGGGGGAGGGATGTTATGTATGTATGTATAGATGCAAAGGTAGAATGCGGGCTGCGCCCCGCTTCCCCGCTCCGCTATGAAGTTTAGATAAAATAAACCAGTGTGCAACTAACTAGCGAGTTTAATTGGCGTGCGCATCGTTCCCTTACAAGGAGATACATAACAAAAACAAATAAACGAAAACACGACTACACATTTCTGTAACCCTCCTCCATAATATCATACAATCACTGCTCGACAATCTGTCAATAACATCGTCGAAAAACGTCAAAAGAATACCGAAATAAAAATTCGTACGTCTAAAAATGAATACTGACGTAAATAAAATATGGGAACGGACAAAATATGTTGTCTAAAGATGGACTCAGCATTGCATGAAGGTGTAACCCGTAACAGTTCAGACTATGTGCCTCATCACAAGCAAATATTTGCTTGTAATGTTCATGCTTGATATATTGGTTAGAAATTGTAGATTAGACTATTTAGATTTCATTCGACCTTTTCGTTTCCTCTGTTAAGTATTGTATACATACCTACATAACGTCACGCCTTTTATCCCGAAAGGGGTAGTCAGAGGTGCACATTATGCCACTGTACAATGTAACACCCGTTTTCCACTATTTATGTTATGAGTCCCATGTAATAGGGGGTGAACCTATTGCCATATACCGGGCACAATTCTATACTCCGTGCTACTACTGAGATTTTTGAAGAAACACAGTAATACTTAGCCCGACCCGGGAATCGAACCCGAGACCCCTTGTCCGGCAGTCGCACTTGCGACCACTCGGCCAACGAGGCAGTCAGTTAAGTATTGTAGTCACTCAATAAATACTCTTATGACAACAAGCAAAGTAGGAGCAGTGACGAATGTATTGTATTGTACTCCGCCAAACGACAAAAGCATGGATTTCGGGTATTATTTCACAGGAGATAATCCGTGTGGCGTTGTGACTAACGAGGCGATTAGCTCACGAATTCGGTACGCACCAAATATCGGATCCGAATTCCACTTTGTGCTTACGTAAGTTCATAACTTCAACACGTTTTTCCAATAACGTTTTTATGTTCGAAATAAATGTGACAGAATAAATTTTGTGACATACCTTCGAAGGTGATTCGAGTTTTTTAGACGGCACAAACTCGGACAGTGCCAGAACATCTTAGTAGGCAGTTTAGTTTTAAGACTTCAAAAATGTTACTTTATTAAAATTCTTTATTGAATTCCTTTTATTTGTCTGACTGTTTTGTTCATTGGTAGCAATTTTATACTCGTTATACCTCTAAAAAACTTACCTAATTTCTTATCATAATCTTCTAGTGTAATATTTACTTATAAATAGTAATCTTACATAACATAACATAACATCACGTCTTTTGTCCCAAAAGGGGTAGTCAGAGGTGTACATTATGCCACTGTACAATGTAACACCCACTTTTCACTATTTATGTTATGAGTCCGTAATAGGGGGTGAGTCTATTGCCATATACCGGGCACAATTCCAGACTCCGACTGCTACCACTGAGATTTTTTTTTAAATCTGTCATTTTTTGCCCGACCCGGGAATCGAACCCGAGACCCCATGCCCAGCAGTCGCACTTGCGACCACTCAGCCAACGAGGCATAGTAATCTTATTTAGGATTAATGACTAAAGAAAGATTTCTTTGCTTAGTACAGTCAGGCAAGTATTATTACAAAGATTGAATCAGCATGGACATGTTCTATAGTTAAATCTAAATTGTATGCTTTTCAACGAGGCAAACTCATTGGACGGCTCAGTAGCAAAATAATAGTTACTACCTCTGCGACGTCGTACCACAACACGTCAATTGCAATCACTGGCTACCTGCACCTGACAATATAAGTCTTTCTAATGAACAAACATAAAATGCAAAAAAATCAGTCAACATTTCTTTCAGTCACAGTTCTAGACAAAACAAATATCCAATGTATAATTATAACCCTAAAACAGGCAGAGAATAATCCAGACAAATATTAAATTCACGAGACGCAAATACATTCAGCGTCCATTTTATACAATTTATATAGGTACAGCTGTCAGTGTTAATGTCAGTGGCCGACGTATGATTCCCGGCGTGACACGTTAGTAGAAATAAGGTCGAGTCTCAGGAGACTGACTGTACTCAATGAATTCGTTCGGTTTAAATGGAACATGCTATACAGCTTAACTGATGAGTTGTGCATATATTTGGTTACGGTTCCACAATTTGAAAGGGTTTTTGAATAGTTAGGTTTATTGTTTGTTGTTGGAATTTATGTAGAGGTAGTTTTTTATTTATGTCAAAATAGGATGTATGTGTTATTTATTTAATATTTATTTGATTGTACACAAGATAATAAATAATGGTAGTTATATTAGACAGACTTTATGTGACATGGTATTCTGTGTAAAGAAAAATATTGTAGAAATGTAATTATATTTAAAAAAAAATAAGGATGGAGTTTCTTGCTTATCCCTCTCCATTAGAAACTAGAGGTACATTTTGGAACGAGTGCCTAGAATCACTGACAGACAGACGAACGGATAATGCCATTTTTAACCTTCCAAAATTGCCTAATTAAGGATGATTTAAAAAATGGTTGCCTGTAAAGTCGTTTTTACGGGCGAAGATTTTACGTGACAACATAAACTCAGTTTCTCAACTTTTGTGTCAATCTAACAATTAATCAATCAATCATAGTTTACGATAATGAAATATCAGTGTACAATTATTTACCTTTATTGTTGTAGTTGTTGTAAATGACGAATCTAAGCACTCCACATTTTCACTACAGACACAGCTGACGATACTTTAACCACACGTGTGAACTTGTATTATGACGCTTTCTTGTTTTTCCAACGCCAAGAACGTTCGAGAAAGACAAAGACAGAGACACAAGCATGTGCCGATTCAATGCGCCTAATTCTCTAGTGCTGCGCGCGCGGCAGACCGATCATAGTTGAGTGGGAGAGAGACGCAAGGCATTCGGCGGGCCTCTCTCTCGTTCGGTGACTCATCGTAACGTTACCGAGCGTTACACTTTTTCATAAGTGACTCCCAGCCGCAACCTAATTTAAGACGTTGTCACGTCAATAAATGCTTTGACTTTGACTTTGTCATTCACCTTCCAACAATTCCTATTCGATAAAACCCAGTAAGTAATCAAAGCATTAAACTGCCGTCACCTCTCGACACTGGCAGTATAGTCGACAAGATCGTTTTGGAGACTCGTTTGCCAAAGAAAAGAAAAAAGAAGTAATCAAAGAAGAACAAAATATTGTACACGTTGACAAAATATCCTTGACAAAATCTAGAAGATAACATAATTCCTAATGCAATCCTAATAAATAAAACGACAAGCAGAAAATAGGTACATGAAAACTTGCAGTCAAACTTACTTAGGAAACATGATAAATTGTTTCGGAGAACATTCATCAAAATCCACTTAGTCTAAGTATAGATGTAGGCTGGCACAATCTGGGTTGCGTCGAGATAAATTTACGGAACACAATCATCTAGTTCCCGAAGTGTATTGGAAGGTAAAGGACTCAATCCTACTATCCTATCCTACTAATATTATAGGCCTGGAGTTTTAAGACGCCCGCTTCTCATGCATGAGGGTGCGGCTTCAAAACCTACCAACGCCAAGTACCAATGTGACTTTTTCCGAGTTATATGTACTTTCTAAGATTATCTAGACACCACTGACAAACGGTGAAGGAAACATGGGCATATAATTTCTAATTATAAGTTTGTAATCGCCACCCCGCATTGAGCAAGGGACGTGATCAATGCTCAAACGTGTGAGAAGAGGCTTTGCATAGCAGTGGGCATTTTTATAGGCTGTTGATGATGATGATGAAAGCTTGTGAGGATGTATGTGTGTGTGTTTGTTTGTTTGTTACTCTTTCACATCAAAACGGCTGAATGGATCAAAATGGAATTTGGAACAGTGGTAGATCATGGTCTTAAATAACACATAGACTACTTTATATCCCACGGGAACGCGAGCGAAGCCGCTGGCAGAAGTTAGTTTGATATGTATGTTTATGGATAGTTTGGACGGACAGTAAACCAAATTATTTCGTATACAGGTAAGAAAATAAAGATCGATTCAGTACAGAGACTAACCATTGACTGGCTACTCAACCAACCAATGGTGACGAAAATGAGGCTTTATTAAAATTAAAATAGGTAATCTATGTAGATAAATAAAATTGGAGTGTCTGTTTGTAATATTAAAATAACCGCTTTTTACTACATGCATATGAATATACATACGATTTTACTATTTTTGTCTGTCTGTTGATACTGGTTAATCTCTGGAATAGCTGGGCCGATTTTGAGGGAATTTTTTTTTTGGCAGATAGCGAATGTACTTTTATGTTCGAAAATTGAAACAAAAAAAGTTAGGTCTTAAAATTCATATTGTACGCGGACGAAATCGAGGGCAACAGCTATTTTAGTATAATATCGAGAAGCCATCTTTATTTCCTGACCTACATAATAAATAGCTTGACTGACTATATGTAAACATATAAATAATATTTTACTTATATTGGTCGACCCCATGAATTATATGGCTACCAACTTGACTGCTGACAACACGATATTGGTTTTTATATCTGGATCAGCTCATGTATTGTTGGTTGATGTCCTAAAATTGTCAATAGCAAAACTATTTGTCATGGAGTGTGGGGATTGTGATAATATACTGTAACCTATTTGAGAATGTAGAGGTACTCCTCTACAGGTTCCAGTACGGTTGTGTCATAGTAATTACACACGCTGAAAATGGAACGCCTTTTAGAATGCTATTATATATAGGTAAAATGTAACAGTATCTTAATTATAATACTAGCATTTGTATACTCAATACCCATTAATTCGGATATGATTTACTCCTCATTAGTCAGACACATACCATATCATGTTTCATAGGTTTACTATCACATGACACGTATCTATCGATAGACAACGTAACTTTGAGAACCTTTACATGCAAAAACGGTTTTTCTAGACCACAATATAAGGTCTTGTGTGCAAAATGATGCTAGAAATAAACACCAAAGTAGAAATCCAAGTTCATGTATCCAATTGGTCCATAAAAGTATATTGATACACTATATTTGGGGTCCAAAGCGGCTAATGTTACACGGGAACAACACGCGACGTACATTTGATAGCGAAACGTGGTTCTGCTAGTAATCTACGAAATTCCCACACTAAATTGAGATAGCTACTTATTTAATAGGTACGTACGAACCTCTGTTTTACAAGGCAGATATATATCACCAGTTTATCGAGGAGAACAGACATTTATAGACTGAAACTCCATTAAGACTATTAATAGGTTGTCGGCTTTTATGTATCTACGTATGGTTCCCGTATTTCCCTTTGGAGGTGGCGTTTCGGTTGCGAACTACAACGTTTTGATGGTAGCGAAGCCGCTAATGTAATTGGAGTTATTTATTATCACGTTTCGTTCATCAAATCGGAGTTGTTCAGTATAATGGAAGGTTTTGTAGGAGATGAAGTGAAAAAGCTGATTCAGTTTTATTAAAATGTTATAGATTTCTTTGCTAGATTAGTGCGGAGGGAAGGCTTTTCATTTGTATTATTTATTGAGATATCTAAATGTTGTCTGATCTTGTTTAAAGCAATTTACATTGTCAAAGCCTAATACGTAGGCGGAAAATCTATTGACACAATAGGTAGATCTAGACTATTGTTTCATTACATTGCTATAATCTCAATCAAGAGAGCTATATTTATAAATGAACTAGCAACTGTAGTATTAATATTATAATCCAAATTTGCAATCACATTGTTACGAATAGATCTGATCGGTATTGAATGAGAAAAGCTAGTTGCTTGTCAATGTATTTCCTAGTATATGGCATATTATGAACTCTCCTAGATGCCTAAATAGGTGCAAACGCCATTTAGGTATTTAAATAATAATGCCAATATTATTATTACTTTTTTATAAAAAAATGTTGTAAAAAAATAACGCAAATCGATTCCAAATGAAAATGTAAAAGTCAGATCACACATCGTCAACGAAATTTGGCAGACATTTTGGTTATGATCCCACATTAATATTAAACAAGCAAATAACTTGAGAGACTCGTCAGCGTTAAGAAAAATCCTTTGATATATTGCATCGTTAGTCGCCCCATCTCTTTCTTGGGACGAGGATTGTTAATCGAGCCATTTGTCACGATCGCGCTCGGTATTCACTGAGAACGAACAATTCGAATTTCGAACGATTTCTAAGGGAAATTCTTACTGGCTGATCAGGATACCCGTTTGTTAAGTCAGGACGCCATATTTCCATATTTTTTTAGGTAATCCTCCTTGGTTAAGTTTTATCATCGTGTAGACTTTTTTTACTTTTAAACTTTAATCTGACTGTGGCAGACATGTATAAGTCTAGATGTGATTATGGACACAAAACCTCGACAATTACACGAAACGGTTATAAAATTATAAAGTAATCAGTATTGTCACTATAAACCGAAATATAAAACCTGAATCTGGCACATTTTGTACCCCTATTTGTTAACCTCATATTTTATTAACGAAAACCACAAAAATGTATTAAAAATAGCAACACAAAATTTCTATTACACAACAAAACTTTATCGTAGTTCCACATCGGTTTTGGTTCATTTCTTTTTCGACAGAAAAATAATAGAGTTATTAAGTAGGGCGACGCGACGCGACGCAAACCTGTGGGGTTTTGTGCCAAGTTTCGATCGGCAAAGCATGAAGGTTTTGCTATTCGTTCACCGTTCCTGGCCTGTACTGTTTATAATATCTTAATACTGCATTGTCTCGGTAACGTATTATTTTTATGTCATATCCTAGTTCTCTTGCTGTATTTTATTTTTCTGTCCTTTCTATACTTTATTATGACGCGATATACCTAGTGCCAGAAGAAAATATCTGAAAGACCGTCGATTTTTATCATCTAATTTATCTTTTGAGAGTCCTCTTTTGAAATAAAATATGTTTAATTATTACATTCGATGTTTAATTTCAAACAATGGTGAGGTTTAAATGTTAATTTTACCTAACACAAATTAAAAAAGGAATGATTTGCCTTCTCTTAAACTTAACGACGTATTTTTCTTTGTTGCAAACATTATTATCATTTATTTACTTTTGGCAAGTTGTCGAAAGACAACCAACATTACCAAACTTGGTAACACAACACAGTGATGCTCAAACCTCCTTCCAAATTCTCCTTCATCAAATTCCCCAACAATCGAGCCACAAATCCATATTAATGGCCGCTAAACCCCTATGCACATGTACAGTTTGGTAGACATGATAAGTTCACAACTATAATTGTCAACAGGTCTCCGGCCGACGCCGAGTGTCATGGCGGAGTCTCTAGACATAGTGAAAGTGTCAGCGGTGGCGGGCGGCGACGCGACACTACCGTGTGACACTCGCTCGACACAGGCCTCAGATGTGTTGTTGCTTGTCGTCTGGTATAAGAACGATGTGCCGTTGTATAGGTGAGTTTGTTTTGGTATATTTTTTTGTAAATGCAACATTTATGTGAGCAAATATCGTGGAATTGTTCATGGTATTGTTCATTATTTATTTATTAGACCCATAATGTTTTATACACTAGATATAGGTATACAGAAACAAATAATAGTAAATAAGGCGGACATTAATACCATTACTATAAAGTAGTAAACGAGACTAACTACATAATTAAAAAAATCTGTTGCAATACTCTGTACACGAAAAAAAAAACAATTATGATTATAATCCCGGATTAATAATTAATATTCCATATCAGCAACACGGCATCTAAAAACAAAGAACAACGTCACGAAGGAAAAACGCAATAAAACTCATTGTTCAGACCACTGCACTAGTCTAGCAAAGTATAAAAGAAATAAATAACTTCGAAATTGGATCGGGAATTATTCGAAGAATATCGACAAAATGAATACATGTGATTTAGTGGGATAAGAGTTGAGATAACTTATACGGCGAGATTACAGAAAAATCGTTCGAGTTTATCATTGGATATTTTCCTGTGTTCTCGAGTTTTTGGATCTTAATATTATATTGGATTTCTTGTTTTGTATACCACTTATGAGAGCTTGCATAATAAATCACATTAGATTTATGTTCGTATCTGAAATATGTTAGTATAATCTTCTATTTTCTTAATTAAATCGTTGCTTGCTTCTTGCTCCTACCATTCACTCTTCTCTGCATCACCCAAAGGTCAGACTGGGAGAAAATGCCTGCGGCATTAAGTCCACCTTGTGTACACTTTGTGCATGAAGCGATAATAAACAAAAAAAAAGTTAGTAACCTATAACCCTGCGTAGTAAGATATGTTCTAATCATAAAGACGAAAAGTTCCTCAAAAAAAACAAGGCTACTTTTCTAGCACCTTGGATGAAAACTAAGAATACTAAACTTATGAACATAACATAACATCACGCCTTTTATCCCCGAAGTGGTAGGCAGAGGTGCATATTAAGGCACTTAATGCTACTGTACAATGTAACACCCACTTTTCACTATTCATGTTATGAGTCCATGTAATAGGGGGTGAGCCTGGCACATTTCCAGACTCCATGCTACTACTGAGATTTTTAAAAACCCAGTGATACTTTGCTCGACCCGGGAATCGAACCCGAGACCCCTTGCCCGGCAATCGCACTTGTGACCAAAGAGGCAGTCACTTATGCTGACTTATGCTGACGCAAAATAAGGAGCATATTTTAATATTTCTAAAAATTACACTTTAACATACCAGTACAAGATTAAATTGAAACACACATATATACATCATATAGCAAATTCAATAACACTAAGGTTGAAAATATATCGTAAAGCTACCTACAGATCAAATAATTTTCGTTAAAAATCTCAAGCGCATGACATAAACAACACAATATAATCAAAGTATTATTATAAAAACAACAGAAACATCAAAACAACAGAGATTTTTTTGCAAAAACTCAAATTTAATTATGACAAGAGAAACAGTATAATTAAAGCGTTCCTTTCATTTAGCGATTCAACAATCATAATGATATTTGAAGCAACTACGTCGCAATTAATTACTGGGACGACTTACTATAATTACATTATATAAAGAAATGAAAATTACACCCCACGTAACGTATTTTAGTCGAATAGCAAAACGTTATATTCAGAGAAAACTATTTGTATTATTATTTTAATTCAAACCTTGTAATACTTAACAGAAATGAGAATAGAAATTATTCCACCTGCTACCATAATTCCAGTTTATAAAGCCGTAACTCATTTGTTATACATAAAACAATAGACTCTAACTTGTAAGTAATAGAGTTGGTATTACGAAAAGGATTAACGCATTTTGGTATTATCGAGCCAAATAGAACAATTGTATTTGAAACGATCTTGAAGTTTTCAGTCGGTTCTTATTAAAACCTCAGTTTGTTGGAAAAATGTAAATTGCTGTACTGTTCTGTGCTGGGTCACGTTGTTTGTTTTTTTTTTTTTGTAATAAGGCAGGGGTAGCGTGCGACGCCAGAACAACGACCCGGCTCGCTTCTACTATGTGTTCATTATCTGTGAGCGACAGTACTAAAGTGAGCTTGTCACGTGACATCTCAAGGGAAAGATTTTTTCACAAGTCCCTGTGACGACGGCTCACGTCACAGACTGAGATGTGCGTGAATTACTTCCATAAAGCGTTGTTAAATAAATCCGTATTTTTCTCCTGTTTGAGTTATTATCGTCTTGAAAGGTATGATGACATTTTATTTTTATACTGATGAGGGCGAAGTTAACTATTTAATGGCTGTTTGCTGCAACTTTTCTTAAACCATCTCTCACTAAGAGTTACTTAGTCTGAGGAAGCACCTAAATCTACTCCTTCCTTATACTATTATGTGTCACAAATAGGTATCTGACAACCAAAATGTCGTTATATGCCACCTGTCTTAGTTTAGGCATTCCATAAAATTTAAGAAAGGGAAAAACGAGTATTTTTCATTTAGCTAATCTGCGTAATACCCAATGCATACATTATGTATGTACATTAATTGAATACAAATTAAAAAATCATTTCAATCATTTAGTTTCTTTATTACATTCTGTTTTCAGATGTTCGTTGTTGAATTTTTAAACGACTCTAATTAAAACTAATAGTTGTATTTTAATCATTCATAAAAATATTACCGTTCTCATTCCCCTTAAATTAAAATGTTAGAAAGATAATTGAAAGTAATAAGTTCTAAGTACATTTACCTTCGCTAGTTACTTAGTAAATTATATTAAGGGTAGGTTAATTTTGTGATAAAATTTTTATTAATTATGTTTTCTTCAATGGATGTATTACAAAAACGTCACGTAACATTTGAGGATATATTAAAAAAAATATTTAGGACAGATAACCCTGAAGATTTACAGTCATTTAAATACATATTTTATGTTACTTACATGACTGCCTCGTTAGCCGACTGGTCGCAAGTGCGACTGCCGGCCAAGGGGTTTCAGGTTCGATTCCCGGGTCGGGCAAAGTATTACTTTTAAAAAATTCTCAGTAGTAGCATGCAGTCTGGAATTGTGCTGTTATATGGCAATAGGCTCACCCCCTATTACATGAAACTCATAACATAAATAGTGAAAAGTGGGTGTTACTTTGTACAGTGGCATAATGTGCACCTCTGCCTACCCCTTCGGAAATAAAAGGTTTGATGTTATGTTATGTTACTTACATGTTCAAAAAGTTGTGGTGGCCCGGAGGTTTAGTGAAACAAGTGAGTGAATGAAACAAGTGAATTTTTTTCTGCAAATAGGCTACAAGGAAGCACTTTTACACGTCAATTTTATCAAGCGAACGATGAGGTCGACATTTCCTAACTGACTACTCTGAGAAGACGTCCGTTTCTCATGCATAAGATTGCGGTTTCAAAACCTACCAACAAAAAGCACCAATGCGTGTGACGTTTTCCGAGTTATATGTACTACAAAGATTTTTTAGACACCACTGACAAACGGTGAAAGAAAACTTAACTTATACTTTCTAATTCTAAGTTTGAAATCGCCAACCCACATTGAGCAAGCGTGGCAATTAATGCTCAAACCTTTTCCGTGTGAGAAGAGGCCTTTGCAGCATTGGGTACTTATAAGAGTGAGCTTATTTCCAAATAAAAAAAATATATTTTTATTGTATATTATATTGTATGATTAACTATTCAAAATTTTTACAGTCGCTCGTCCACTTTAACAGGACAATCACTTTCTTTTATGTCTAGCATTCAAAAAATTTACCATTTCCCCGAAAATAATACCTCTTGTTAAGAAAACTGTTACGTTTCATTAAATTATAGACACTTTTTTTTGTTAGACAAGCCCTCCACAACCTTCCAAAACTGTTTCAACTCCTGTAAGCCAGGATCTACAGTAGATACAACCATGAAAACACCGGAACACTGAAGTCCGGCGCGCCCCAGGGACATAAACAACTGTCTTGGTTCACGCAACGAAGTGAATCAGAAGATATTATAAGAGGAGAAAAAAAAACGATAGTTTCCACTTCCCTCGGTGAATTACTGATGGAGACAGAATAAATTATAGACACTTACCAAACTCACTCTCCACTTACATTGAGAAGAGAGTGAGTAAACTAGAGAGAAATGAAATCTTAGAGTACTATCACCTGTCACTCCCCCGTATCACCTAAGATTCATGACTAAATCGCAATCTGACGTTCCGTACATATTTTATAAATCGCTCAACAACGTATTTGTTATGCATGGCTGCGCTGGTGTGAATGTGGCGCGCAAATTAGTTTCCACAGGAACTAGGGACGAAATATGATCAGATTAAACAGAATCAGTTGTGTCCTGACAAATTGTTGACCTTATTAGTATTTTGTAACTTATTTGTTGGCTTGACCTTTTAGTACTTTAAAATTAATTGAAGTACATTAGTAGTTTCAACGTCGTTAATATTGTAAGTCCAGGTTTCCTCACGATGTTTCCCTTTACCGTTTATCAGTGGTGTCTAAATAATCTTAGAAAGTACATATAACTCGGAATAAGTCACATTATTATTTGTCGTTGGTAAGTTCCGAACCCGCACCCTCATTCATGAGCAGTCTTATGTCGGAATACTGAAACGCTACTCAATTTTAAGTCGTCCTTAAGTATAGTTCTATCTCTACAAATTCTTTGTAAAATGACAAAGATGGCACGACATTTGAACACGACTTAAAATTGAGTAACGGTTCAGTATTCCGGCTTAGTTTTATATATTTCAAGTTTGGAATGCGAAACTTAAATATCGAAACTAATATGTTAGTGTTATTTAGCTCAGTATGTAGCTAATGGCTTAATGAAGTACTACAAAAAAATTGATATCAATACAAAAACACTTTACTCTCAACCCTTCTTCACTTTATACTACCATTCTGGAGCCTGGAGCAAGTCTACCGACCTCCTTTTGACGTCACAAACGTGTAGAACAGAGTCGTTTAATTTCAACTACCGTGTATGGAGCAGACAAGCGATGGTATCGACATAAATTCTAGCCTTTACACTATCAATCATGCATGCACAGCAAATAGAAAACCACTGGTGTACGTATGAAGCCGAAACAAAGTGCCCCTGTGTGTTTTAGGTATGGAAAATGATTTGTTACGGAGTTATCGCTCACTTTTTATGGCTATGCAGGTATGAAACTAAGTATGATATGGTGCAGTGTACGATATTTTTGATTTGATAACGTTTTAAATGGAAATTTACTGCTATGAATACAAGGAGTCAGAACGCACGCCCTCAAGGTGGACAGCTGATCTAGGATTGCAGGAATCCATTCAATAACATACGTTGCCTCCTAGGAGTCCTTGAAAAAGGTATATGTATTGTACAACAATGGATTTCTTATGGCTGATATGATGATGATCTGATCACTTTGTGTGTCATAGTCATAGTCTTAACCATGCTAAACCTTAGGCTAAGCAGGAAATTATCGAGTTTTATTGTTTTCAAATCGTCAATACAGCAAACTCATGCAGTCACTACTAAAACAAAGGCATGAAAGCAAAACAAAATTGTCCTATGCAATTTCTATCTTTGACAAAACAAAAAGTAAGTAATTTAACACTAGTAAAGTCAATACAATTTGTGTAATAGACGCTTGAATGTGTGTGTTTATAAACGACGTAGATACTAAGCTATTCATGACACGTGTAAAGAAACAGTTATATGAAGAAGTGTGTAAATACGACTGCACATCAAACTACACATATCCAATATAAACTGAAATTTGAAAGTGCTGAAAGATTTTTTTTTAAGGAATAGGAGGCAAACGAGCAGACGGATGACCTGATCGTAAGCGATCAGCTTTGCCCATGGACACCCGCAACACTAGAGGAGTCACAGATGCGTTGCGTTCGAATACGCTCTTTTCTTGAAGGTTTGAATCGGTTCGGAAATACCGCCGACGACAGATCCATTCCACAGCTTTGCTGTACAAGGCAGAAAGCTACGTGAGAAGCGCACAGTTGTGGCCTACCAACAATCAATATGATGGGGATGCATATGCTGTCGTGAGGGTCGATGGCGTAAAGATGCGGCAGGTATCAGGTCAAACAATTCTTCAGAGCATTCCCCGTGGTATAAGCGATAGAAAATGCTAAAATGTATTTTATTGTACAAAGCTAGATCATGATAAACTGGTTTTGTATAGTTTGGTGTACAATCATGCGTACAAATAAAATATGTCTACGTGTAATCGACAATGCGGTACAAAAACCTACTTTTTGAAGATTGATCTGATCCGCCAACTATCCTTGAGAAAATTCCTTTTCGGTTATCTACATATCTTACGTCTTTGTGACGTATCATCATGTATTTCTATACTTATTTATGTTGTTTATACAAATATGTATACATTTCATTCGTTTTTATATTTAAAGACATCTTGCTAATAATATAAATGCGAAAGTTTGCGAGTGTGTGTGTTATTGTGCTTGTATGCATGTTTGTTACTTAATCACGTCAAAAGGGCTGAAAGAATCGGGATGAAATTTGGAGATTATGGTCTGGAATAACACATAGGGCCCTTTTAATCCCACGAGAATGCGGGCGAAACCGCAGGCAGAAGCTAGACATTTTATAAGATTAAAACAATTATTATTAAAATCAAGTACCTATAAGTAGTGTTTTTATAATAACTATCGTGAGACATACTAAATTAACTAAAATCACGGGTTACTTACGTAAATATACTGAGAAAAGCTCTACTAGTTTCGAACCACAGAGGGGTTCTTCCTCATGAGCAGCGTGCGTGGTTGCGGCGGTGTCGCGCAGCTCATTGGCTGGCGTTGACGCTCGTATTGGCGTTGCTACTTGCGCTGCGAGCCCAACGTCAACGGCACAAAGTCAGTGTTGCAAATAACGCTTACTGTGTCACACTCCAGACTGGAGACGCTGTAGATCGACGTAGACTTCAAACTCGCTAGTTAATTTATCTATATGTCCATTAATAATTACACCTAAAAATTTTAATCTTTAAATTGTTCAATACTTACTTACTTACTAACAAATTATTTGAATACCACTTAATTCCAATACCTAGTTACACCCCAAGTCGAATCCATTATGACAACTTCATTAAACCGATTACAATTTTACAATTAAAATACAATTGTATTCATATGACCAGTGTAATCGGTTTGTCAGTTTTAAATGACAAATTAATCCGATTAATTTATTTAACTGATAGAGTGGAGATTTGATTGTTTTCATAATTTATTGCATATTGGTTACATTTACTGTGGTGCAACGAATTGTGATTATCTAGATTAACATGATAATGGGCTAGTAAAATAGAGGTGAATATCGATTGTGCTATGCTCTAATACATAGAGAAAAAGCGTGCTAATGAATAATATTGAATATGATTCAACATTGTATCGTACTAAAATTATAAATTATAAATGCACGGTTGGTGCGGTGGCCGGGCAACTGGCTGATGCGTATCGTGTTGTACGTGGAACAACACTTAGTATGATGCATAACACAACAATTTTACACACATGACAATGTGTATGTGAATTTATAGGATGTTTGGAAACTCATCCTCAACACAGGAGAAAACCCCAGTGTGGAACGTTTTTCTTTAAAAATGTGCATGTTTGTGTGTTTGTTTGTAACTCAATTGCTTCAATACAGCTGAAAGGATCGGGATGAAATTTGAAACAGGAGTAGATCGTGGTTTGGAATAACACTTACTTTTACTACTTTTTATTCCACGGCAACACGGTCAAAATCGCGAGCAGAAGTTAGTGCTGTTATAAATTAGAAAATCGCGTAGTAATTTCGTTTACACAGAAAGTTTAAGAACTTAGAACCCTTTGCAAGAATACTTAACTCTATTTTAATGATAGTATTTTAAAGATATTCTAGTCTTGTCCTCTAAACCAAGGAGTCTTTAGTTTCTATCCCAGTTAACACACCACCTTCAAATTCCATTCAATTATTATTTCAACCTCTTCCTAACATACTTCGCTAAAATCGTGAGCTATGAAAATTTGTTCTGAAACTTTTCCACGAAGTAAACTGCATAATTATGCAATTTATAAAAATGGTCCTTCTTAGAATTTGATTCTCCATTTTGATTTATGTTGGCGACTGTATAAAGAATAGCGCAGGGCTGAACTGGCCTTAAGCTGCTCGTGGTTATGAAATATTAATGAGTAAAAACCGTTTTCATTTCGAAGCACGTTATAGCAAAGCATTGAATTTTTGAGAGTTCAAAGTTTGAGGGCTAGGATTAGAAGGTTTTACAGGATTATTATTCTCATTCATTTTAGTACTTAATCATTTATAAAACGGGTGCATGGATCGTGTTCACGCTAAGGTCGAATTAGTTGTTTTAACATGAACTTGAGTGATTAGTTAAGGTAATCTCGATGCATAATTTATTTTACACGATAAAATTCGTCAACCTAATCATTACATACTCTATAATTTTGTATTAAAATTGCTACAAATGAAGTCTGATGAACTTAAGCCTTGCATGACGCGCCTTTTCAAAACATATCGGTTAACCATAAAACCTTATTCATTATTCAACAATATTCTAATCTACAGTACACTTATCATACATGTTGTGGACGTGGAAATCACCCCCGGGGGAAGTTTATATTGCTCATAACATATTTGAGTAGGCTGACTCATTTTTACGTTTGTCCTCAGTTACGATGGCCGTATAAAGGGGCCGACGGCTCACTGGGCGGACGACGTGTTGGGCGGTCGGGCGCGGTGGCACGCAGCCACACCGTCATCGCTGAGGATACGTGACGTCATACCCACTGACCGAGCCATGTACCGCTGCAGGGTCGACTTCAAAATATCGCCGACAAGAAACCATAAGATCCTTTTGGAAGTTATCGGTAAGTTTGTACATAAATAATGTATTCGTTTCTCTATTTATTCTTGTTTGTATTTCCTGTATAGTACTTTTATAAAAAGGGTTGTAGTGTAGTTATAAGTAACAATATTGTATTTTTTGCTTCGTTTTATTTTTTCAAGTAGCCGTAAGTAGCAAATTGACTTTGTGGACATTTTTCAGCAAGAATTGATACTAGCTTCATTTAATTTAGTTCTATGGAACAGCATCCAGATCCTAGCGAACTACATTTAACCGTTAAAAGTCAGGAACGAAACGCTAGTATTGTAAAAACAAACAAAATGCCAATAAAAAGAGATGGTGACTGTGCCAAGCTTCGGCTTATGCAGGTGAACAATCGGCTATCACGGTCCAGTTTTTCATAGCAATTTACTCGTTTCTATTAGTTTTATTATTTATCTCGTCGAGTACCGGTTTTGTAGACACAATTATAGAACAATAGGTTGCGGTCACCGGTGACCGCTTGGAGTTTGACAGTTTAAAAGAATTTAATTAAATTATAAAAGAAAATATTTCTCATACTACCCTGCGTTTATATAGCTACTCATAAATTGTCAAAAATAAAAGTAAAATATGTCTAAAGACAAATACAGTGATATATGATGAAATATAAACGGGTCAATACTGAAGACCGCCTCGTTGGCCGACTGGTCGCAAGTGCGATAGTCGGGCAAGGGGTCTCGGGTTCGATTCCCGGGTCGGGCAAATCATAGCTGGATTTTTTTTTAAATTCTCAGTAGTAGCACGGAGTGTAGACTTGTGTCTGTTATATGGCTGTCACCCCCTATTACATTGGACTCATAACATAAATAGTTAAAAGTGGGTGTTACTTTGTTACTTTAAGAGCCGTAATTTGCGCCTCTGCCTACTCCGTCGGATGCGGTATGACCGCTCAATATTAATTTCATTAAGAAAATAGCCTATTTAATATAGAAAGCAAATATAAACCGTTGCAATAACATTCAGTAGCAGCAGTCAAACGTAAAATACCAGCATACATTTAGGTTCAAAAACCAACTAATACACGATTGAGTGACAACGTCCAACGTTGTTGAAAACGTTCAAATAGACATTCCGCCAGTGTTCACATAAACATACCACTATCGAGAATCGTAATCCTGTTTATTAGGACAACCAGCTTATAGGCCAAAATGTCTCTATTTGCATACGAAATGCACTAAAATTCAGTTTAGAAGTCACAATCGAAATTACTTTGCTCTTTACTGTGTTATTTATCAATAAGTTGAATTTAATAATCGACTGTACTGCAATGGCATATTTATTTATTTATTAACGCACAAAAAACAGTAACATAATATTAATGTTTTACACAAAAGTTTTACACTAAACAACAGCTACAGTACTTAAATATGTTCTCACACCATTGCCCACGATATTATAAAATGTTACTAAAACTAAACTTCATCAATATATAAAACAATTTGACTGTATGGTTGGCGCGGTGGCTGGGCAACCAGTTGCCGTGGTGGTTTGATGGCTCTTTGAGGCGCAGGCGGAACGCGTCGCGCTGGAGCAACGTTTTGTAAAAGAGAAATAAATAGAAAGGAAATCAGTTACCAATGACAGTCGACTACGAGACACCTCTCGCATACTGTTGGACTATGATATCCAATAATCTTTACCCTTACGCCCGAATACTGAAAGGCTATTTAAGTTGTACTTAAATATCGTGCTATCTCTGTCATTTTACAAACAATTTAAAGTGACAGAACTATAATTAGGCTTGTCTTATTGAGTAGCATTTGAGTATTCTGTCATTATTCACATTTTTACAAAGAGCTGCTAACTGGCCTTCTTCAAATGTGTAGTTAGTCGGCTCTTACAACGACTACAAGACAAAAAGGTGTTATTTTTATATTATGTATTTGATGGGCTGACGTTTGACCACTATCTCACCTGGTGTTAAGCGATAATGCACGTCGTCCCACAAGCAACCTATTCACTCGGGCCTTTGACAAATATATTCTACTATCACCAAGTACTATCACTATTACTAGGTTTAAACGTTTAAGTACAGTAATCAAAATTTAAAACACAACATGCTTATCTACCAAAATATACGCTTAGTACTTTAGCCGAGAGCTAGCTCTCACACAAATATTTAATAATGCCGTTTTATACGCCTGCGTAACTAAGTGCAGGTTACACGGCGTGACACTTTTAGGTAGACAGTTATTGTACAATATTCATAGCTTGACTAGCTATCACGGTCCTCCGGCTATGTCTAGGATCGTTCATTTAACATTTATAGTGACTATTTCAAATTCGCATTCGAATGCAAACTTCGAGTGCGCTTGTGTGAACGCGCTTTTAATATTCTCTGCTCAATATGTGGTTATTGGAGTTGTTGCTTTCATGTGTTTATGGTATTACTGATCAGTCAATGACGCGGACCGTTATATGTTCGAAGTCATATTGGGTTTAATAATACTGTTAGAGCTAGGATATTATTTAGATGATTTGATCCGAAGCCAAGGATTATATTTAAATACAAAACTATGACAAAGAGTGTTCGCAAGTGCGAATGCCGGGCAAGGGGTCTCACGTTCGATTCCTGGGTCGGACAAAGTATTAAAGGGTTTTTAAAAAAAATCTTAGTTGTAACACGTATTCTGGAATTGTGCCCGTTATATGGCAATAGGCTCACTCCCTATTACATGGGACTCGTAACATAAATAGTGAAAAGTGGGTGTTACATTGTACAGTGGCATTAAATGCCTTAATGTGCACCTCTGTCTATCAAAGGCGTGATGTTATGTTGTGTATATGTGTTATGATGTGAAATAAGTTTTATGACGGAGCGTAAGGTTCTTTACACACACTTCGGTTTTTCGGATAGTAGGTGCCAAGCGTCCTAGTATGTAAGACGTTAACTCTAACAATAGATAAAATATCTTTAAGTATTTTTCGATTACTATTACGTAGTCTAGAACAGACCTATATTACAATAAAACTCGTTACATGTTTAGTGAATTATGAATGTTCAAATATATCCATTTTAAACCTTCTAAATAATATAAAGTTTAAGTTCCTTTTTACAAAAATAAGGAAATGCTCAGTATTTTAACTTATAAACAATACAGTTTCCACATGGTTACGAAGGCCAAATGAAGTCAAGAGAAACTCGTTACGTTTCTTTTTCAATCCACAAGGAGTGCAAATGTGGGGCCATTTTGTGAAACAAGTCTGTGAGTTTGAGAACTTTTCATTTTGCAACAAAAAAGAAAATGTTTGGCAACAAATATTTTTACTTAACTTGTTTACTTCCTTAATATTTCTAATCCGTATTATCGTTTAAAAGTATTAAGGAGGTATATTTTTTTCAATCGTTGTTTTAATTTGGTATTTTTTTTATAAAGATATATAGTATAACCTAAAATAGAGGTAATTTCACGTGTGTTTCATAACATAACATTACGCTTGTTATCCCCGAAGGGGTAGGCAGAGGTGCATATTACGGCACTTAGTGCCACTGTACAGTGTAACACCCACTTTTCACTATTTATATTATGAGTCCCACGTAATAGGTGGTGAGCCTATTGCCATATACCGGGTACAATTCCAGACTCTATGCTACAACTGACATTTTTTTTAAAACCTATATTATATACCATATTGCCCGACCTGGGAACTGAACCCAAGACCCTTTGCCCGGCAGTTGCACTTGCGACTATTCGGCCAACGAGGCAGTTATATTTGCAATCGCTTAATCAATCTTCATCAATACACCAGACCAAATTGGCGATATATAGAAAGACAGAAAGGAACAGTTAACGTGTTAAAAAAGGTACAAATTAAAAGTACCCCTAACCGACAGTCACCCATAAAAAGACTGATGACTGCGTAGCAATTGGCGTTTCATAGTCTCTGTCTACCCCCATGGGAGACATGCGTGTGTTTATGTATGTATGTATGTATATGTACATTATGTACGTATGTATGTATCAATGCACATTAAATAGTAATAATTCAACGCATGATCGAAGCCTAAATTCAAAACTAAATTATCTATCATAATATGAGCAAAGAAATCTAAGTATATACGGTTGAAAGGCTTTATTATAATGGATATTGAATTCTATATAACATTAAATTGGGTTCTCAGATACGGGACATATATCCGGTCAAATAATATGGCCGACTTGAAGCTTAAACGTATTGGGCCAGTTGTACTCACATTCAGTTAATAATCTTTTGTTAAATCGATTTCAAAGCTTCTTGAAATGGTTTTATTTTTGTCAGGCATTTTGGGATAGCTAAGTAATTTTGACTATAGGTTATTGATCAGAGAATAAAAATGAATTGTTGTATTCTAAAAGAAATAAATGGACACAAAACTTTAAAATCTCTAACTTTGGAATGTACGTATATAATATTACAACATAACATAACATGAAGCTTTTTATCCCCGAAGGAGTAGGCAAAGGTGCACTTAATGCCACTGTACAAGATAACACCCACTTTTCATTATTTACGTTATGAATCCCATGTAATAGGGGGTGAGCCTATTGCCATATACCAGGCACAATTCCAAACTCCGTGCTACTACGGAGTTTTTTTTAAAAACCCCGTAACATTTTGCGCGACCTGTGAATCGAATTCAAGACCCCTTTTCCAGTAGTCCCACTTGTCACCACTCGGCCAACTAGGCTGTTTTACTATCTAAGAAAAATATATATATTACTCATTTATAATCCACACAACAGTAAACATATTTTAAATAAACAAAACACTTCAAATTCATTACAGTTTAGGTAATTCATAACATCAAACAATATCAACAGCGAAAACCAATAAATAAATATTACCCATAAGTAGCCAACTCGAATACATGATACAAATCGATAAATTAATTATTTATACAAATCAAATCCATGTAAAACTAAACTATGGGAATAATTCATTGTCCAGTATCTATAATATTGACCGTGGGTGGCCTTCCACCTATCAATAAGGCTTTATATACCACAAAATGTTGGAGTATCAATATTTTATGACTGTTCAAGTCACCTGGTTCCCATGTACGTCATAAATTTATGTTTGGTATCGGAACGCAGCCAAATCGTACTCGGTTATTGGCAGACATCTTGCTTCCGATGATGAAGTTGTGTTTTAGGATTTATGAAATACAACAGTAGTAGCGGATTCTGAAATATGACAATAGGCTCACCCCCTATTACATAGGACTCATAACATAAAAAGTGAAAAGTGGGTGTTACATATTACAATGGCATAATGTGCACCTCTGCCTACCCTTTCGGGGATAGAAGGCGTGATGTTATGTTTTATGTATATGTTATGAAATACAACAAAGTTTACATAAAACATGTGATGTTTTGAAATACTATTTCCAACTGGCAATGAACTTATTTATCAAATGATTTGGCACAAGTGTGTGAATAGGTTGCCTATGGGACGACGTGCTCCATCGTAGGCCTCATCATTGCTTACCACCAATAGAATGAGCGATAGAGTGGCCAACCGTCAGTCAGCCCTACAAAAATATAAAAAAAGACTTGCGATTACAGAAACCTGTATTGAAAGTATTTTAACTATTTTCTTAAACAATAGGTGCTTAAATAAAAGAATTATTTCTTTAATTAACGCTGTATTTCTTAATAACTATATTTATACATAACAAAGAATTATACATACAAAACAAAGTATTACTGTATTTTTTAAATCTCAGTAGTAGCACGAAGTCTGGAAATGTGCCCGGTATATGACAATAGGCTCACCCCCTATTACATGGGACTCATAAAATAAATAGTAAAAAGTGGGTGTTACATTGTACAGTGGCATTAAGTGCCGTAATGTTCACCTCTGCCTACCCCTTCGGGGGTAAAAGGCGTGATGTTATGTATGTAATGTATTATGTATATTTCAAGAAACTTCTTTAAGTCTTCTTTCAATATAAATGGTGTTGCCAAAGTATGATATTAAGATGCAACAAAAACTGTAACCCAATAAAGTAACCATTTTACTCTGCCGTCTGTGGCTGCATATTGCACACTGGCATTGTGCCAATCGCAGTTTTATTGGCTAATAATTCTTTTAGTTTTATCACTGTGTCGAATTATGCAATCGGTGTGAACGTCTCAGTTATTGCGATATTTAAGAATGTTGATAATGATGTGTTTAAATAAAAATACTTAATATGTGTTTAATAAGAGACGCAATTAAAGCTGTTTTTTTTACATGTATTAAAGAATAAGATATTAGAAAAATAAACAATTAATCATATTTTAAGTTATACTGGCTAATAATGTCTAAATAAAAAGTCGTTTGCCTATAAATATATTCATTCAACTTTATTATATAAATTCTGACCTTAAATATCTAGAAATAAAAGTAACTAAAATCACTGTTCTTTGCTAACATAATGTGTATAAAAGCATTATACAAATAACAAGTATTTTATTTCCACTGCCATCCAAACGGTTATTGAATGTGTCAAGATATAAAAACCGCTGAACAAATTATGGTGTTACTCAACGGCCTCAACACCCCCCCTTTAATAGTACGTATCTCAAAGACAGAAATATCTAATAGGAAGATTTATATAGTTACTGCAGCTTTCATCACCATTCAGTAAAATGAAATTAATAAATGAAAGTTCGGTAAAAGTGACAATTAAATATCATGACTTAGTTTATATCACGGATCTATTATGTACTCTTTCAAATAAATACCACGGAATATCACGACTTAGTTACTTAGTTGCCTGCCTGACATCGGCTCGCAACTAAATGTAATGTAATTATTATAATAATTCGCAGTTTATAGTAAAAGGACTTTAAATCATCATTTCTTCCTTAGCATGTATTTTACTACGATAACAGAATGCTGCATCTTTTATCATAATCTGTCAATTATGAACGACTTAAATTTGAATATTACAAATTCATGAAAATATTCTAGACTGAAATAATCTCATAATAGATTCAACATTATTATCATACTTGATTCATTGCCGAAGCGCGCAATAATTTTAATTTACTCGTTCTGCCACGCTCGCGTAGCTGTCGTAGCCTACGGCTACGCTGTAACCACCGCTACGACGTAGCCACTATTTATATTTTTCATAGTTTCAAATTGAATATTCTAACAGAAGTTAGTTTCTACATTCAAATACTAAAACATGTTTGATATTTTAAATTAATATCTAACTATACATATTATTGATCCAATTTTTTAATGTTTCAACCAACCTTTATAATAGAGTCAATAGGACACCAAACGACACGACTCTGACAAATCTTTTATGCTGAATTTACATTCATTAATCTCCTCGTGCATGTTTATCGATTGAGGGTGCTTTTAATTAAACCCCTTTTTAATTAGTCACCATCGTATTTGGTCAACGAATATCGATTTAGGGCAGGATCGACTTCTCGATACATTCTCACTTTAATTGCTCACTCGAAATCCCTTCCTACAGTACAATCAAACCACCACATTTTTCGACAGTACTCAAATTACCCAATAAACAAACAAACATAAAAATCCATAATTCCATCTCAAAACTCGACATTGCCATTTGATTTGATTCCTTACATTATAACAATGGAAACTCACAAACGACGAAGATTGCTTGGCCAAAGTAATTTGCATCAACGATGTCTTTCGAGACTTTTATTTTAGCAATATAGGGTCCGAGGGTAAGTTTAATGTAGGGTAACTCAATTACGTGAGGTACTTTGAGTGCGTGTCTTTTTTCGTCACACGCCCCATCTGTTCCTTCGATATAACATTTTCAATCTGTAGAAGTAAATGGAACAAGGTCAGCTGTTGGTTTTCTCACGCGACCAGTTAAAATGAGGGTCGACTGTTATTATGGTTTGAACCTGCCTACTATTTATTAACACGTTATTTCTCTTTTGGGGTCTCGCAGCCAATGGATTGGTTTGAAGTGCTAATAGTTCGTTTTTATTTTTATTGTCATTTCAATTACTCATAGTATCTGTTTCAAGAAATACAGAAAACCATGTTTCCGTAGAATAGTAATTCTGCGTGACATTTTAATTTATAGTTTACGGTTAGTTATAACATAATGTAACCTAGCTTCACTGACGGACTGACTGACAGACTATTATTTATTTTGTATTTGTTGACGTTTCAAAAGTACCAAACTATGGTTTAATTGAAATAAATGCTTTGACTTTGACTTTGACTTTGACTTTGACTTTGACTTTGACTTTGACTTTGACTTTGACTTTGTAATTTAGAACTTGAACAATTATTTTGATTTAGGACACACTAAAAATATTATAGTAATATCCAGGTTTTGTTGGACTCAGTTCAACTACTTATGGAACTCTTTTTAATCTTATTCAGATGATTATACGATTACATCTTCTACTTTAATTTTACATTACAAAATGACTCCTTTTATAAGTTTGTTTTATATCTACTCAAAAAGAGAGGATATAAAGAAAGAGAGAGAGAGAGAAAAATATTATAAATACACAAAAATATGAACCATAAACGAATTACGAAACACCATTGCAGATACTGCGAGTACATACATTACACTGTAACAGTATAAATAAATTAATTGTACGTTATGAGATACAAATATTCATAGAACGGAGGATGCAAATTTAATATTTAATACTCAAGTCTCAGTTCAGTATTCTAAGCTTAAAAACATTTTTAATATTATACCAGCGCGTGTTGCTTTTATGTAAGCCAATATCCGTTTAAGGCCTATACTTGTGTGATAAGAGACAGCGGAAAAAAACAAGGAAGTGTTTTTTACTATTTAAAACATGATATTTAAAGTATTTTAAAAGAACATACTTTTTAAAAAAGAGTAACGAATGGAGTAAACTCCATTCGTTACTAGAGTTACTAGAGTAACTCTTGCTCGTTCTTCTCCATTCGAATCTACATTTTGGAATAAGCACCAAATTTTTAATTGGACATTTTAAACATTTTTATTTTAGCATTCGCTTTCAGTATGTTTAAAATGTACCGCGGTAATGTTATTGTGTTGTCGCGGAGAACCTAACGGGTAACCGGGGCTCCGGCTCGACGTGCAGGAGAAGGAACGGGGTGGTTTTTAGTCAGTAAGAGTCTGACACTCCCTCCCGCCTCACCCAGGCGGGAGGAGTCATTCGATGATTTTCCCCCCTTAAAAAAAATGTTATTGTGTTATTAACTGCATAATTGTGTGCAAAAAATAATAATAAAGTATAAATTATCCATTGTTACAGAACTACCAGAAAAACCGAAGATATTCGATGAATTCGATAAAGAAGTGGTCGGCGTGGCCGGCCCGTACATAGAAGATACTAGCTTGAAGCTCACCTGCGTTGTCAGTGGAGGTAAGTCTGCTTAGTGGAGGTAGACACTATAATACCTGTAACGAATTGACTTTCATTTTACATAACATCACGCCTTTTATCCCCGAAAGGGTAGGCAGAGGTGCACATTATACCACTGTACAATGTAACACCCAATTTTCACTATTTATGTTATGAGTCCCGTATAATAGGGGGTGAGCCTATTGCCATATATACCGGGCACAGTTCCAGACTCCGTACTACTGCTGAGAATATTATACTTTCATTTTAGTAAACCAGAGATATATTTTCTCGCGTATTAAAATTCTTATTTTAAATTAGTTTAACATTACAATGTCGTAACTTTTCTACCATCATAAAAATGAGGTGTTTTAGATCAACAGGTTAGTTTAATAGAACATTTTCTTTACAAATATTTAACAGTACATTTTGCCAACTATCTTTGACGATTTAGTGATTTCACTTCGTAGTGACGAGTGACTACCCACAGCACCGTATCACAAGATCGGGTGTCAAAAACTGTTAACTTTCCACAAACACGATAAAGTAAAAAGTTAAACATTAACGTTTGAAGGGAAAGTGTCGGTGCCTAGTCGAAGTTTAAATTAAAGTAGTTACCTTTGTGACGTCACAACTAAAGTTTACAGTTGACTGGCGACTAACTCGATGAAATAGGGTACGCTGGACGAGAGGAATATATATTTCTTTCTTTTGACCTGCTGAATACATGTATGCCTTGTACATTATGTACATACAAAGAATTTGAAATATTGTCTCGTGTTTTAATATTTAACATTGACTACTTTCGATAAAGAAATGTTTATAAAAAACTGATATAGACAGTAATATTTCTTTTTGTTACAAAAATCTTCAATGTCCCTATTGTCCAGTCCTTTGATATGTTTTTGAAACATGGCGATAGAATTTCTTTCATTTTGATGAAAATATTGTTTTTTTTTTTATTATAGTAGTTGTAATTTTATATTTCATTTGAAACTAGTGATAATTTTGATAACAGATTTGCAACTATCAATGCTCAAACGCATGTAGAAGCCGAAATATATTTTAAGCCAAAATTGTGGAGCTATTGCTCAAGTGTTAAGCTTTAAAATGAAACATAATATGGTAGATGCTTAATTTCTATTTTAATGTTCGTCTGGTAGATTATTTTAAATTATTAGACACGTATTTTTTATTTTCTTACAGAAACGAATACTTTCGACGATATATTAATTTGAAATGTCGCGTGGCGTCACTTCTATGTACATTTTTTACGTAGAAATGACGTTAGCCTTGAATGAACTTTGATTCGAAAAAAACACGTGTCTAATATTTTTTCATTACCTAACTTAAGGACTAATTAGATTTTGATTTTCATACCCTGTCGTCATCATCCCAATTGTTAGTACTCGTAAGGTATATTCCCAACTCAAATTCTAAAGTAGCATTATAAATTATTTAACTGGAGGATCTGCCTCATTTTATAATTGAAACAAATTCGATTATAAATTACGGGAGGGAAGTTCAAACAACCTTAAGATTTGTTAATCAGCAGTTTCGCCAATTTGCCTTTATTAATATTTCATTTGTGAAATAGTTACTTGTATTTAATTTTTGGCTGGACTTGGAACGAGAAATGTACGCTGGAATTTTCGTCATTCATGTGTTTTCGTGTGAAAACTTGTTTCGTCGTATATGAAAATGAAATGTGAATTCCGTATTAAAATATGTAATTTACTAGCTTCAGACCGCGACTTCGTACGCGCAGTCTCGAAAAAAATTTAGGAGTGGACTACCTAGGGGTAGTCCTCTCCTAAATTAGGGGGATGAAAAATGGATGTTGGCCGATTGTCATAGATACCGGATAAGCACAAAAATGTCATAAAAATCGGTCAAGCCGTTTCGGAGGAGTATGGCAACGAAAACTGTGACACGAGGATTTTATATATTAGATAAACACTATATATAAACCCGTCTTATATATTGTACTTATGTATGTGACAAAAAAGTAAATGTCATAAATTGGCTCTTAAATAGGTGTGAGAAATATGTTTATTATTAGACATTTTAATTGTAATTTGTTGACAGCTGTTAACACCCACGTACTTTTGTGTGGGTCTCGTAACAGATTAATTACTTACAAAATCTATTCATATCTTGTAAAGGACACTTGACTTATAAAATGTAACGAAAAAATAATAAATTTGTATCTAAAAATAAAACCTCTTTAATGTAACTGAATACCTTTGTAGTTCGACTACGTGTCTTGTATTCAATATAATTATTTATTTTAAAAATTAACTTTAGATTAATATAATTATGTTGAATATCTGCAAGTAAAATGTATAGTAATAGTATCTTCAACAGAATTTAATTTCAAATGGCTTGATTCTGGCATACTGCTTTTGTTTCATTTATATGTCTATGCATACTCGTTAAAGAAACTTCCTTTGACCTTGAATCCTTGTTCCAGGTAAACCAATGCCTCGTATTCGGTGGTGGCGTGATGACAAGGTGATAGCCACCCTGGCTCCTGTGGATGATGAGTCCCGCCTCAGTCTGCTGGAGTTGAGGATACCGAAGCTGTCCAGAGACTACTTCGAGGCTGTGTACACTTGCACTGCTGATAATACAGTGCTAGTACCGCCCTTAAGAGTCAACGTGCAGATACAGCTGTATTGTGAGTATTTATTTATTCTAATGCGTTTACTAAGAACATTTTTCTATTGTTTCATTTCATTTCGTAATCGGGTATTATCATACTTTATCGTTTTTGTTTGAAGTGATAGATAGCAGGTTTAATTATTGCAATAAATGTCTTATTGGAAATGTTTGTGATTGGTGAATATTTTACGTAGTCAATTATTTACGGAAAACAATCTTTATATTGTAACATCTACTTTAAAACTTTTCTGTTTTGAAAATGTAAACGCATATAAAGATTAAATAAAAAATGAAAATTCAACAAACTATTTTACTTATAACAAAACAACTGTACAAAAAACAAAACTACATAATGAACAACTCAGTCAAAATGATACTCAGCCTAAGTCATAACTTCAGAGTACATAATAAGTTAGAAACACAGGTCTCCAATTTATAGAAGCGGCGGTGCGCGGCAACGGAGCCTAATATTCCGTCATTTGTCTGACTAAACGCGTTTGGACATTATGAACGTTGACAACACACTACGTCATCTCACATATGATGTAATATATGAGGATAAACATCGTAGATTTACACGAAAAAGTAAGATATACGTGACTTAAGATTTGCGGAAGAAGCAGTAAGTTATTTTGCCTTTTGGTTGACGGAGAAAATAGAGCGTTCCTTTATGAGAAAACGTTGCTTCACCTTGCTTTTATTTGGATAGGGTTTTATGGTCTATTTATAGTAGGCACTTATATTAATCTTATAGATGATCAGTAAGTATGTGTTTGGCTGTATTTAAAATTATGACATTGCTTTCTAATCGGCTTTTACCAAAAACTGATCGTACATAAGTGACTTTATTATCATTTAGTCAAGGTAAAACATATAGTAACGCAATACACGTTCAAGGAAAAATAAAATAACGTTTACATTACGTTTTATTGTCAATTTTACATGAAAATAGTGGCGGGTTTCCTCCAACACAGCAACGTTTACCGCGGAAATATTTTTATATTTCTCAAAGAAAATAAACGCCACTATAAAAAGATATAAGGACAGTTTATTTAATCAAATCTAGTGCTACCCTTTCTCAGTTGTTACCCAATCTGCCTCGAGCAAGGAAAAATAACATTGGATGCCGCAAAATAGTTGGAAACTTTCATAACATCCGCATTACACGGGGACAAACGTTCATTTTCTGTTATTGCAAGACTGAATCCACGTAAATCCGTGCGATTAACCTATATCAACCGCGCTAGTCTCCTGGATTATCTCGGAATATGACGGTTCGTTGGTAGACAGGATTCTTTTGTCACCGCTCACCCCTAAGGGCCATTAGTTTTTATTTGTGTAGCATTGTCCTGTCGTGACGACATCGCCACGTCGCCGCACAGGAAATTATTCTCCATTATAATAACCCATGATGTCATTCGTTCAGTAATGCACGTTTAGCTCACCTTTTTCCAACAAAGCTTTTAGTGAACGATCTTATTTTTGTTTTTAACACTTTTTCAACTACCCATGCCGTTAATGGACGCCATTAGCGTTTTAGTTCCCATTGTTCGGATCGCTTCAATTTAATTCATGCGATGGATTTATGAATCTAATTCTGTCGCGAGTTCAATTTTAATTTGACGTTTATAATGAAGTAAGCTTATATTTACTTTGAGAGGCAAATGGTCGGGGTTTAAGTGAGTATTTTTCGGAGTACGCTCTCATCCGCATTGATGGATTACCGTTGTTTTTAACGGTTCGTACAATTTCTCATACTGTGCCGGGTAGGCGCTCGAAGCAACAAATTTCCAATAAAAATAAGCCCAGCTTAAAATGTTGCAAACATTGAATTACAGATCAACTTTAATGGATAGTCCATTATTGTACGTTTGCGTATATTTTTGTAAAAAAAAAATAGAATTCATTTTACGTGCGTATAACCTGTGGCACGTGTCGGTTTTTATTCGAAACATTAGTTACCTATTCCATTTTCAATATTTTTGGTTTTATATTTATTTTGTGTCCGGTTTAACTCGTCGAGTACCGGTTTTGTAGACACAATTATAGAACAATAGGTTGCGGTCACCGGTGACCGCTTGGTGTTTGACAGTTTAATAGTATCATCGTATACGCGATTGCAGAGCGTGTAGTATTTTATTTGCAATATTATTATTCTTAGGCTAATATCAAAATCTTCCTCACAAAATATTCCGAAGTGAGTAACTCTATTTTGATAATAATATAACAACGTTTACAACTTTACTCACGTCTTTACACAAAGGCATTCTACACAAATACTTAAATTGTGAACGTGGGAGCTTAATAATAGTCGTACTTAGTAACTGGTTAGCCTGACTGTCATACAACAAAAGTCCGTACAAACGCTGCCCTAATGATGATAAGGGTACGCGTTTGTCACTTCACTGTCATTTTTTATGTATAAAATATTTTTAACGGCACTTTGATTTTTTTTCCAAAATCATTCCGAAATGCGAAACGGTGATATTTTTCTGTAGAATGTTTCCGTGAAAATAAATATGGATATAATATCGATCGTGTTTCTTATTTTGAGAACCTTGACATACATAATATAAAAAGACTAAGTTGGTAGGTACTTTACCAACATACCTCTAATATTACCTCATTTACTATTACAGCATAAATTACTTACGTTAAATATTTTGACCCAGATAGTTAAATTAATCTGAAGCTTCATATTACAATATTAATCTTACTAACTTACTATTGAGTGCAGGGTCAGTAGGTTCTTGTCTTCTTTACATAGACAAAAAATTAAAAACCAATTAATGAATAGGAATAAGGTGACTGCTTGCTTACTTTAATTGTCTTACTTTCGATCGATCAATCTTTACCGCTTACTTTTGATACAATCGATATTATTCTTAATATTTAGTGAGACAATACTACATGAGTTCAACAATAACAGTATAGTTACAATTTTGTTCAGTGACTTTGATAAAATGTTCAAAATATATCATTTGAAAATTAAATCTATGTTACATTGACTCATTAATGACGTATTTTCACTGACTCTGAGAATTTAGACATTCGAAAACCTGAATATTCAATAATTCCAATTATGACATGTTAGACCGCCTCTTAGAACCCCAGATCATCTTATTTAGCAGCTACACAAACTAAATGGAATTACTCAATCAACGAATTGTTTATATATCTATAGTCTAAACCTTTACCTTTTTGTATCCAGTGCGACCTCTATTTGTGGAGATCCTGGCTCGGGAACAACCACTTTCCGTGGGCCAGGCAGCAGAGCTGGCCTGCAAGGCCGTTGGAGCTCGACCACCTGCCATCATCACCTGGTGGATGGATGATAGGCAGATGTCGGTAGCGGCGATACAGAAGGTGAGAAGCAAAGGAAGTATACATCAAAAATGATATCAAAGATTGCTAAACCATACATAATATAAATCGCTGAAGGAAACGGAGAAAATTAAATCTAATGTAACTTTAGTACTACTATTTGAATTTTCGTTATTCAATGAATTAAGTTATACAGTTCCTTTAGACAATATTTTGACGAGGATACTCCTACCAGTTTCAAACTACGCCAGGGCCATTCATGAGTAGCATGTAATACAGCAAACACATAACCTCGTCAAACAGTGACGTAAATAAGCCGTAAAACCTACCTAATATAATATTTATGTCTTACGTTACTGATAATACGAAACCAATTTCATTTATTCATTGTTCTGTACGTCACTCAAACTCCAACTGACAAAATACATCAATGAATGTCTTACACAGAATTCTGACGACAAAAACGAGACGATATCGTTTCTCCGGTGGACTCCTCGCATGGATCAAGATGGCCGAACACTGACGTGCCGAGCGGCCCATGTCAAGTTGGAGCACACGACTATAGAGACGAGTATCACACTCAATTTACATTGTAAGTATGTTTTCCTGGTACAATAATAAATATGTGTGTTACGTATGATATATGATTGTCATTCAAATGATAACGTGTGATAGTGTGTAGAAGTTATTTTGTGGGATTTATTAGATAGATAATTAAGTATCTGGTTTTTAATTTTGTAATTTGGCTGATTGTAATCACTGATTACAATGATGATAAATGAAAAATAATTTACTTTTGAACATAGAACTAATTACTCTGTATAAAGAAAATTCTGTTTTAAATTCCATTAATTATAATAGCTACAACTGTATGCAATGTTCAAACATTTGACAGTTCTCTTTATTTTTTTAACAAAATAAAATATGAATCAATTTTTCCGATTCAAAACTAACTGACACACGTCTATGTTTTAATAAAACTAATTATTTTCTACACACAGGGTACTATTATTTATTCTATTTAAAATTGGTTTACTGTTACCATTTTCCTCTAACCAAAACGTATACCTGTGTACAGGTAATCCTGTCAAAAACTAATAAAGCCTGCGCCTGACGTTTTTATTTTTAGTCTGTATTCAACGTAGGCTTGAAATTGAGAGAATGAAATAATTATTGAACAGTCAATTCAAAAGAGGAACGACACCTGCTAATATAATAAAATTTATAAATATGGCAACATTAGGTTTTTATTTTTAGTTTGAAAGAAAACTTGATACGTTACATGGATTTGATGATGTTTTTATGAATTATTTTGTTATAAGAAATCGTCCAAAATTCTCTCAAAATTGTAAAAATATGTTATAAAATGTTATGGTATGGTATAGTACTCAGTTTCATTTCTAAGACTATAAATATTTTAAATAAAATTAATAAATTATTCAGTCATAACAAATTTTAAGCTATATATGTATTTCCGAGAACTCCCATGATTTTAGATTCGAGTATGTTGCATGTAAAATAATGTCTAGTTCCCACGTTAATAAAACACATTTTTCCACAGATGTCCCAATAGTGACATTGGAACTTGGTTCTAAAATGAACCCTAACGACATCGAGGAAGGAGATGACGTGTACTTCGAGTGCATGGTGCGGTCTAACCCACCGGCTTATAAAGTTGTGTGGGAACATAATGTGAGTACCTAACATATTTTAAGTATTTAGCCATACGACTACCGAGTAAGGGGTTATGGTTTGGTTTACCGACCCACTTGCACTTGGGAAGGAGCCATGACTTAATTGGTTAAAACTGACGGTTACTTTGCAACGTGTTGTTATGTTATGTTATGAAAAGTATACGTACACACATACATACATACATAAATTCACGCCTATCTCCCATGGGGGTAGGCAGAGACTACGGAACGCCACTCACTACGATTCCTAAATACCTCTTTTCCTTCATCAACAGTCATAAATTTTTTCATGCATGCTCGTCGGTTAAGGGAAAAGTATGTAAAAAACAGTCTTATTATTTATGTATAGGTAGAAGAATATAATTTGTTGTTTCGATCTAGCTTCGTGCTTCATTTAGATCCGATCAGCTAACAAATTTTAATATGATCCACATCATCACATTTGATGTTACTATTTACACACAACACAATTGCTAAATAAAAATAATATCACACTTGCGCCAAAACTGGCAATCCGGCAATAAAACAACAATGTGTTTAATCGCAGACGTTGATTGGCTCAATCAAATTGTGTCACCTGTTCACATGTTCACCGGTGGAATGTGTGGTTACACGGACTACCTCTTTATTGAATTCCGATCTTTGTCTTTGCTTTATACGAGTGTAATTTGGGAGGTATTCGAGAATTATATTGGTAATTGAACAGCTATTTGTCATGTTATAACGAAGTTATAAGATAAAAGTATAAACGAAAAAATGTGACGAAGTCATTACATAACATAACATAACATCACGCCTTTTATCCCCGAATGGGTAGGCAGAGGTGCACACAGAAGTAACACCCACTTTTCACTTATTATGATTCCCATTTAATAGGGGTGAGCCTATTGCCATATACCGGGCACAATTCCAGACTCCGTGCTGAAACTGAGATTTTTTTAAAACCCAGTAATACTTTGCCCGACCTGGGAATCGAACCCGAGAGCCCTCACCCGGTAGTCGCACTTGCGACCACTCGTTCATTATATACCTTTATACCCATTTTTACAGTAATTTGTAAGATTAGTACATAATTAAATTCAGGACAATCTCAAGTTGATTGCACTGTTAAAGTTACACTTTTCTCTACCGTGAGACTGGGTTAAAACAATAGGTTTGGTCAAGTACAATTTGTAGAGGCTTATTATCATGTCAATTTACAGCAGGATAGCGATAAATATAACAAAATCAACATTATTATCAAAGTATCACAAACGAAAGAAAACTGAAAGTGATACTTAAACGAAATTTATTATCAGAGAAAATATCTATTGAGAAATTACACGATAATTAATATGTTATGAAGTTTGTTAGTCACAAACTTCCGATTCCCTCTTCGTGTTCCCAAGACAAACTTAGTTCACATCGTATCGAAAAGTTTCCATACACACGCGTCGACGTAACAATTTTGATTTTCTTACATACTTTAATGATACTGGCTTTTAAAAGTTTCCAAAACTTTTACACTCTTGTATAATGTGTTGTAAATTAACATATCATTGGCAATTAAGTTCGGGATTTAATTCATTTACAAATTTACATGAGTACAGATATTTTTCGGATGAATAACTTCAGTTGTGTGATTAGGAAATTATTAAAAGTTTTACAAAAGAACTTTTGAAGTTACAATTATTACGTAACACCACTATCAAGAGATATATTTGAAGCACCATGTAATAGAGGCAGAATCAAATGTCCTAGACCTGCTATGATTCCAGACTCCGACTATTTATTTGATTTCTAATAAAAATTTTGACAAAACCAATAGAGCCCTCAGCAGTCTTGCTCGCGATTTTCCGATCAACAAACCAAATAAATCAATTAAAATCACAGTTTAAAGCAAAAAAGATTTTCCTTCCTAAAATAACGTGAAAAAATATAAAAACGCCATTGTATTAACCAACTAAATTTTTCCAGGGTCAGATAATGACACATAACCAACGAGCTGGAGTGATTGCTGGCTCAGCCAACTTAGCTCTGCAAGGAGTAAATAGAAGTCAGGCAGGGAACTACGCCTGCACAGCATCCAATGTGGAAGGAGATGGGAAGTCTCAACCTGTCAAACTACAAGTTATTTGTAAGCAACATTTTTTAATTATTTTTTTTATTGTAATTTAAACTGAATGTGGTACGGATAGTGATGTGATCATTCTACAAATTGTTGTTCACACCGAGGTGTGATGTGTAGGTGAATTTTTACACACACAAGAAAATATAGGAGTGAGGGCTACGTGTTAAAAGGGAGTAAGAAATGCAAAAATGTATCTTGTCGAAATATTATAGGTTTTGATTTCGATTTCAAACTTTTACGCTAGAGCCATTTAATCTGCGATGGTAGGCAATCGGCACCGCTCATAGACACTCGAAATACCAAATGCGTTACCAGCCTTTTGAGGATTGTTGGGGATTCGGAGATTGGGGAGATTAGGGAGGGGCGGTATGTGTTGTTTCACGTCGGTTTTCTGTGAGGCCGTAGTATCACTCAGGTCAAGTCGGCCCATTCGTGCCGAAGCATGGCTCTCCCACACTTAACATATAACTCACATTCACTCCCGTATTGATGTTGATCTTTAAGCAAAGTCTGACTTACAATAAAAAACATAACAGTATAATATGATAGATCGATAGTATTTATCTCTCTAATGCTACCGTCATAGAATTATCCCGTTTAAAATTGAACTACAATGAAACACTAGAATTAAATCGAATTCAAATATCAGACACAGACATACATCACCGCCCAATCCACTTTGTTAATAAATAGTTTTAACCACGTACGTACGTACGCGTTTAACCACAAACCTCAATGACATGGTCCAGTCACACCCATTGATTAAATTTTTAACATTCATAACATAGTTACACACACACTAGCACTGAAACGGTTAAATATTTGACAAATACCGTTGTTGATTAATTTTCAATCTTATTTCTGTTGGGTAAGGTTGTTTGTGGCGTAGGGATTAAATTTTGATTAAGCGATTGGATAAATTAGTATGGTTAATTAATTTACGATATTGAGAATAAAGGGTGATGATTCTTTAAGACTTCGCTTCTCATTCATAAGGGTGTGGATTCGAAACCTACCTTTAGTACCGATGTGATTTTTCCCGAGGTTTCTTTTTGATTATTATGGTGTCTACCACTGACAAATGGTAAAGGAAAACATTGTGAGGTAATCTGGGCTTATTTCAAATTATAAGTTTGAATGCCGCATTGAGCAAGCGTGGTTATTAATGCTCAATCCTTCTCTATGTAATCCTTCTGTTATGTGGGCACTATCTTTGAGGCGGTCGTCTTTAGATTTTTTTTAAGTTTAACACTGTATTGTAAGCACCTAGCTTCACTAACAATTCGATTTGTTGTTTCAAAAGTGCTTTCAAGGAATAATTGAAATAAATGCTTTGACTTTAAGAGGCCTTTGGACAGCAGTGACCACTTGTGTGCTGTTAAAACATGTTTTTAATGTCACCTCTTAGATATATATCAGACGTTATTATTACAGACTTCAACTACTTCTAATAGGAAAATTGATACATTGTATTCGTTTCTTACTTGAGTATTTTGAACCTACGATATTTCTTAACAATGAATGATTGGTCTGACCTTTCCACGATGATATTTTCATACCTTTTTGTAGCTCATAAATTACATTTCTTCGTTGTAATTACGTTTTTATTTTAAGTCAGAAATAACTTTTTAGGCTATTTTAGTACTAAGAACTTTTGTACATATAATGATTTTTAGGAAAAAAAATAGTCGTGTTATAAATACACACATTAAATCTCTATAATGTAATATTCAAACAAACATAAAACTTCAAATTACGTATGTATAATGTTCATATTCCCTTAAACGAAAAATTATTCGTACACACTTTTATTTAGGTGGCAACGATATCCTAAATCGCCCTTTGTTGCGTCAAATTTCGCGAATCATTGCCCTCAAATGCTCACTAAAAAGGGGCGAGAACCAAAAATGGTTTGTCATTATTGTAAACCACCTGTAGAGCTGTTCACCCGTCATCATTGCCTCGAGTGTCAATAGGATGACCCCTTTGCCCCGCCTAAAGAACGGCATACCTGAAGACATGACAGCGAAGCGACAGCCTATGAAAAATATGACCCTCTTCAAACTAGATTGAGCGTAAATATTGAAATATTGTATGAAATATTGAAATACAATAACATAGTGTAATAAGAGGTTTTGGGAATGGAATAGTGGCATTTTTCCGAACTAGTTTATTTTTTTTTAAATAGGTAATCTAGGATTCCATGTAAAACTCCGTGTTGTTTTGTTAGGTACATCAAATTCATTAACGAAGCGTACTTTTTACTGTGGTGCAGTTAGTCACCAACAAAAACGAGTCTTCCTTTCAAAAACAATAAATGAAATCGCTGCTCATAAAATACAAATATTTTTTTTATTAGGTATAACTTTCGGGAGACATACTAAATAAATTATTATGTTTTCGGCTTACTCACGTAATTATTTAACGAGGAACTCGACTAGTTTCAAGCCATAGAGGCTCATATTTATGAGCAGCATTTCGTCGCGGGTCGCAAAAGGCTGAGTTCCTCGTCAAGTAATTGTGAGTAAGCCGAAAACATAATTTTTTTTTCCTGCACATCGCCAGAACAACAATATTATAATTTATTTAAAACCAATTGCAATAAAAACCATATAATTCTTGCACCAAAAAAATAATATCTATAACTTTTTAAATCGCAATGAATACAGCTCTCAAAAATAAATCCCGTGGGCTTGAACACGAGTTATTGATCATATATTGTGTGTTATTCTTAATGCATAGCAATAAATATGTGTGTATTACATTTGGCAATCAATGATACGCAGTTTATTGGCAACAGTCAGCAATATATCACGGAAGACCCATTCCATTTATGTTTCAGATATTGACAGTCATGAATTAAGCGTTGATTTTTATTCGCATGTTTAAAAAACGATTTTTGCGATCTTTTACATACATAACTTGAATTGACTGGTTTGTTTTTCAAGTGGTTGCTTTGATTTGATTACCTTATGGCTCGATGATTGGCGTTTGTGCAACTGTTATAGGTTAGATTTGGGAATTAACAAATGATGGTATTAGATGCTCGGATGCTGATAAAAAAATTAGATTCTTGGGATTATAATGACATTACATTCAATTCATTCTGTTATCCTGTTTTACACGAGATGATGGAAAGCCCTGCTAATCAGGCAGCTTAGTCGATTACAAAATACGATCTCCAGCCTGCGGACGGCGAGCATGGGTGGCTCCCCGTCCGAGCAGAAACAGACCCGAGCGAATGGCGCGTCGCGTTCTGCTCGCGCCCCATAGGGCCGATGCCGATTCGGCGTCGCGGAGAACCTAACGGGTTACCGGGGTTCCGGCTCGAAGCGCAGGAGAAAGAAACCACCCCAGGTTTTTAGTCAGTAAGAGTCTGACGCTTCCTCTCGCCTCACCCAGGCGGGAGCAGTCATTCAATGGATTTCTCCCATTAAAAAAACGTCGATTCCATAATAAAAAGTTATGAAGTTATGTTTCTACCTGAATGATATCTGGATTTTGTAATCACATGATATGCATTTTATATCAAGATCTTCGCTAAAGGTAGATTTTGATAGTTTCGATTTTATTAAAATTTTAGGTTTCAGTGCTGAAACAAACACGTACGACAGTGACTTGAATGAAGTTTTGAATCGATTTAATTAAAGAGCCTTTTTGTTTTCGTTTCCGTTTGAACAAAAGATCTCTGGATATTACTTTCCTTTCTTCTATGAGTTTTTTTTTTGTATCCTTTGATAAATTATAGTACCTAGTCCAAGTCAATGGAAGCCTGTACAGTATGTATCGTGGTGTAAGATAAATATAGTGTTATTTCCACTAAGTACTATTTTAAATCTTTAATAATTCGGCAGTCAGACAATTACAATCTACACATATAACAAATGGCCATCTTCACTTATCAACACCGAACTAAATTTGCATTGTAACATGTAATATATCAATCCGCCATGTTACTTCACACACCATCGGCAAAGCCAATTCAATTTGCACCTAAAGTGTGAAGCATAACTTGCAAATTCATTGAATAACGTCGGATTGATTTGATTTTATATGCAAAGCTTTGTAGGCCCCTGTTTATGATTCAAACGGATTCTGAACTCTATAGAACACTACAAATGTTCCATTGGGCGAATTGAAGCTGTTATTGTATTTTCCTGTCCATTAAACCTGATAAAGGGTAGTTTACAGTGAAAGGAGTTGCGTTGAAATCTTTGAAGACTATAACACTAGTATTACCAACAGCTTCACTCGCATTTCCGATGGATAAAAGTAACCTATGTGTTAATCTAAAACATAATCTACCTCTGTTCCTAATTTCATTCGAATCACTTCAGCCATTTTGACGACGCATTTATGATACGAGTTGGATTTCTGAAAGGAATTTTGTTCTTCATCTTCATATATTAGCTACGAGACACTAAATCATTGCATTTCATTACAGAAGTCTATGTCCAACAAAGGACCAGAGATATTATAAAAAAATTATATCTCTGGTTTATTATGATAAATGTGTAAATTGGTTACACATCGCACAGAAACAGCCTATAAGTGATCACTGCTGACCAAAGGTCTCTTCTCACACGGACGGTTTGAGCATTATTCTCTTAATACAGGTTGGCGATTTCAAACTTATAATTATAAGTTATAAAGTCTATGTTCCCTCACGATGTTTTTCTCCACCTGTCACTGATGTTTAAATAATCTTAGAAAGTACATAAAACTTGAAAAAGTCATATTGTTACTTGCTGTTGGTAGGTTTCGAATCCTTACTCTCATGTATGCGAAGCAGGCGTTTTAAACCTCCAAACCACCACAACAAATTGGTTAACCTGTTAACAAAATTGCAGCAAAATTTGTTTAATAATTTTAGTCAAATTGAATGCTAAACATACTATTAAATAGTGTGACGTACATAATTATCTACGTTACACTATTAAAGACACATTATTAAAGAGTTTAAATAGTAATTTCACCTTCAAACTGCTTATTTAGTGTCATTATTTACAAAATGGACCATTTCGAGTTGTAAAACTTAAATTATTGAATTTAGAAAATCAAGGCTGAGGTCACGAACGAAGACATTTTTGGCTTTTAAATAATTAAATGAAGAAGTTATCCATAATTTTAGGGGACAAATGAAACGAACTTTAGAATTAGGTAACGAACTTGTATTTGTGAAGACATAACAAAAAATATATTTCCGATTATTAAGTAAGCATTTTCTGCAAATTTGTCATGAATTATTTTAATAAAACAGATAAAATTAATTATCACCATCGACACATCAGCCATAAGTCACTACTGAATATAAGCCTGCCAGGACCTACGACCTCTTATTCAAGCCAATTGGTAAAATTGAACATTAAATGAAACAAAAACTATGCAACACTAAACAATCAACACTTATACACGTACAAATAATCAGAAAACCAGACTGATTAATTTCAAAACAAAACAATATAAAAAATAGTAGACACCAACTAGTCGTCCAGTCAAAAACAGATTGAAAACTTCGTACCGAAAATAGAAAATGTTGGTTGATCCCATAAAGACTATATTTTAAACAAAAATAAAAACGTTGCCGGCTTTTGGTATTTAGTTTGGAACTCAAACTCTGACTGGCCTGTCTCTGCCGGAAAATAAATTCGAAGTATCTTTTTTGTTTGTTTGTTCGTTTGCCTTCAAAGTAATAGGGTGAACCCGGGTTAGTCTGTTTCATTTAGATAATCAAGCAGTTTTTATTTAATCAATCTATGGATGAAGGTGAAGTGACACTTTTATTTTTGTAGTTAATTGATTATGGTTTTCTGAATATTTATCCTAGCGGGAGAGTTTTATGGGAAATTATTGTATTAAGAATAAAATTCTATGTTTTATAATAACTGTCGTGAGACATACTAAATTAACTAAAAATCGCGGGTTACTCACGTGAATATACTGAGAAAAGCTCTACTAGTTTCGAACCATAGAGGGGCTCTTCCTCATGAGCAGCGTGCGTGGTCGCGGCGATGTCGCGTAGCCTACTATATACCTCTATAATAAAAATCTATACCTACTAGGTAGAGCCAAAAATTATTCTTTAATAAAAATAAATAATGATATTGCCTCTCCAATTTATTGCAGGTCGACGATTATTTTTTTTTCAGAACAATACAAATGTAAAAAATAAACAAAAAAAAAATGCACATCCCCTTTCTCTCTGGACACAAAAAAACAACAACTTTTTCAAAAGCGATCAATCGAAAAATATTACAATTTACGCAAAACCCAATTAAACTTTTCACATTTTAGACCATCAATCAAATGGCTACTCGTGGTTAGTTGACCAAAAATCAACCGTCAGGTCTAACTGTGAGTAATGACTTAGAATGACTGATAGGCCGGTGATAGGGTCTGATCGGTAGATACTAGATTAGCGGGAGGTCCCATATGTCCGTTGCGCTGCATTGTGCTGCGTTGCGTCGCGGCGTCACAACGGAATCAAGCATTGTACGTTCCACCAGGGTTGTGACAACGCACGACGTTGCGTGTTAGATACAAACGTAATGACTGTCCGTCGATATATCGCATCCTATCTCTCTTCGTCTTTGTGTGTCCATTTATTGAAGCAACAGCGTACGACGACGCGACGGTGTAATGAGGCATGTCATAAAAATATATAGAAAATGACGCTGTGACGACGCAACGCAGAGCAAAGGACAAATGCAGCCTCGCCCTTACTGGGACCTAAATGTGATCGAGTGCATATATTAGTCACCTGCAACTAGTGGCTAAATTGAATGATTGAGTGGCTCCGGTTGGCTATTTATAGGTATCAGTGTGTATGATTGATGGTGAATTAGTTTGTATTAAATTTATTTTGAAATCGCCAACCCGCAATGAGCAAGCGTGGTGATTATTGCTCAAACCTTCTCCGTGTGAGAAGAGGCTTTGCTCAGCAGTGGGCACTTATAGGCTGTTGATGGTGATGAAATTTTGTTTTTGCGTTTTATAAATATGATTGTCATTAAACTGTCAAACACCAAGCGCTCACCGGTGACCGCAACCTATTTTTTTATAATTGTGTCTACAAAACCGGTACTCGACGAGTTAAAATAAAATAGAAGTATGTTTTCTCGTCTGCTTCGTAACATTTGTTATTTACATTCATCAATAGTTTCATTATTACTAGTAGCTGAAAACCTAATTAGGCCTCTAAGATCACATTCAGAACCTAATACAAAAAGACGCTCTTGAACAAATATGTCAACAACATCAACATACAAAACGACGAGTTACAAGACACAAAATGACATCACAAACTTGCAACCAATTTAATTAAATCTCAACTCTATAACAAAATAACAAAGTTCATTCTTTCACAGATAAGCCGGTGTGTCTAGCAACGTCAACAGCCATAGTGGGTGCCGCGATCAATGAACCGACCAAAGTAACGTGCGAAGTGGACGCCTTCCCTCCTCCCAAGAACTTCCAGTGGACCCTCAATAATTCCATGGGAACTTCGGAAATTGAACCTGTGAGTACAAAACTTTGTGAACATAAATGCATTGTACGACTAAAACGGAATAATTCATGTTTCGTTGCTGAAAATTATGTAAACGTTTTATAGTTGGAGTTTTGACTCTGAAACGGAATTGTAATGTGAGAACTTGGTCCGTTTGTAATAATAGTGGGGTTAGTTTAGTGTTGACTTAGTCCCGGAGTGTTCCTTAATGAAGTGCATGTATTCATCGAGCTTGATCTTGATTTATTTTTAAAATTAACATGTTGGTATTTCTAGCCAGTCATGGAAGAGATTTATTTGAAATGAGGTATGATAGCAGGTGTAAATTCTGTTAGTGCAATAGCTGGACAACCAAATGCCGCGTAACGTGCAGCGGATTCGATTCCCACCTAAACAACTCTTTGTGTGATCCACAAATTGTGTTTGGGTGTTATGTGTATGTGAACTTGAATTTTTGTAATCGCACTCACGACACAGGTGAAAATCCTAGTGTGAGAGTCCCGTTTAAAAAGAAAAATAATCAACATAGTTGTTATTTATAACAAAGAATATGTGCTCAAGGCTAAACCAAGTCTTACAAAACATTGCAAAAATCTATCCATAGTTAAACTTCAGTTGATACAAAACAATATTTATTCCCCTGTTATGTCGTTACAAGTATCCCTTTTATAAACACATACATACATAGAAGAGGCTTGTCATTCTCTTTTATGGACATGCGAACAGCGCTCGTCATGAATAATCCTTTGTTTTATGAATATATTTTTTTCCCGACAATTCCGACGACTCTCGCCTTTTTTGCGGGATTACAGAACGGGTCATAAGTGACCCCATGGGAGTTAAACAAATTCATGTGCCAGCAACTTATAATTTCGATTTGAACGCCATTTTTATTACATTTACATTTTTATAAATAATTGTATTGGTTTTTTAGTATATGGTTGCGTTGTTGTCATTTTATAAACAGAATGAATTATGTAATGTGCTTAATTAGATTTTGACAACGGCAAAATATGAGTTTCATTACAACATTAAAAAGTATTTAAAAAACAACAATAAATGACAAATCATTAATTTACTCAAGTACAAAATCAAATGACTAATATTTATTAACTCAATTTGACCTGCATGTATGTATAATTGTGTGCAATTATCTCACGAATGGCTGAAACCATTTTGATGCGGAGGAGAAGGTTTTAGTATATTAATTAACTGACTTGAAAAAAGGAGGGAGTTGAAGTCCATCTTTTTAAACTAAGTTTAAAAAGTAATTATTATTATATTGTTTCATTTTGTCACACAGGAAAAATACATCTTAAATGGAGTTGGAAGATCAGTTCTCTTCTACACGCCATCATCAGAGAAGGATTACGGGTCCTTGGCCTGCAGAGCTACCAATCTTGCAGGTCAGCAGGTGGAACCATGTCGATACTCCTTGCTGCCAGCAGTTAGACCTGATCCATTAGCCAACTGTTCTGCTGTGAACCTCACTGATGATTCAGCAGAAATTAGATGTGTTGCTGGTAAGTACATACATTTCAAATGTATTGAGCAGTCTAACATTGATTTTTGAGACCGATACTCTACTCTTCTATGTCTACTTTTCTATGAAACAAATTAATTGATTTTGTTAACCCACAGTTTAAGATTAGAAGAGTTAAAGATTACAGAAAATTGTACGGATTCTTCTTTGAAAAACTCTGAGAAAGGATAAAACCTAACTATATCTATAGTGCACGCAATGTTAGAAATAGAATCGACCAAACTCTTGAACTTTCGATAAACAAAACAAAAAAAAACCTTCTCCATTCAACACAGCCACACACAGATCATTTCAAAAATCAATTAACAGATTAAAAATACTGCAACTTTTATTTTAAATCTTCCTAGATTTCTTTTCTTTCAAACATTTAATGGACAAGGAAATCAAGTTATTCCAATCACCTGAGCCAAAAAATACGTCCAAGTTATTTTCTTTTCATCCCCAACCTTGTTGTGACTTCGTTACGATTTTCTTTACAAACGTAATAATGAAATAACGACCTCATTGTTTTTATTTTCTGGATTTTGTTGGACATATAAAACGAACAAAAAGATTGCGTAGAACTGAGAGTTGAGGCTTGATGAAATTCGAAAACCTATCTAAAGAAAGTTTCATGTAATTGGAATCATAGGAAATGTTTTTTTTTTGCTAATAACTGATCCAATATTGGATTTTCAGTATTATATTACATTAAATTTCACTCTCATCAAGCTCAGCTTAGAAAAATTTCATATTCTACATTTGTCCGAATTTTAGTACAAAGGATAGCAGAATATGAAAGTGGATTGTACTTTTCAAATAAAAATAATTAAATAACCAATATCACTCGAATTGCATTTGAAACAATACACAGTGCACATAAACCATTTATTCCATTCCCACTAATCCTTTACGCGGAATTCTACACAAAACTATAATAAAGTAGACACTATTTCATTTAAAAAATGACGATGTCGATTTTACTATGAAAAAATATATTTTATAATAACAACGAAGTTTATCGACATTGTATAAGTTCTTTGTACATTACATGTAGCACATTTCAGCAAATCTCATTTTAAAATTCTAAATTGGACAATTCTGACGGACAGACTGACTGACTATTCTTTATTTGTTAACGTTTCAAAAGTACCTGTGTATGGTTTAGTTGATACTAGCGACCCGCCCCGGCTTCGCACGCGTGCAATATGCTTGTAATAAACATATAAACTTCCTTAAGAATCACTCTATCTATTAAACAATCCGCATCAAAATCCGTTGCGTAGTTTTAAAGATCTAAGCATTCATAGGGACATACAGATGGCAGATAGCGACTTTGTTTTATACTATGTAGTGATAAATGCTTTGAAAAAGATTTAAAAAAGTTTTTTTTTACAGGTTATGATGGTGGTCTTCAAACATCGTATTTTGTGGAAGTATGGGAATCAAAGAATTTAGTAGCAAATGTTTCGACCGCACAACCAGCGTGGATACTTCGAGGTCTCGGATCAGGGAAGAGCTTAAGACTCGTGTTCTTCGCTGCCAACGCCAGGGGAAGGTCAGAGACTGTCATGATGAGGATCAACACCCTGGCGAGACTTGCTTTACATACTGGTAAGTTCACAAATTGTAATTGCATTTATCTAATTTCGGGTGTAACTGTATTTTTTTTATGAGATAGGCAGGTAAACGAACAGACGAATCACCTGATGGTAAGCAACCGGCGTAGCATATTGTGCTAACGCCGTTTGGGAGGTCGGTGCGCAGCACCCAGTCATAACCGATGTTCCCCCCTTAAAAAAAAAAAAAGCAACCGGCGTCGCCCATGAACCCACGGAACACCCAGAGTCGTTAGAAGTGCGTTACCGGTCTTTTGAGGATTAGGAATTTGACGATTGTTGGGATTCAGGGAACGGGGTGGGGCTTGGTAATTGGGCCGCTGATAACTTCGATCTTATGAGGAATCACAACGTAAGCTTTGTTTCTCGTCGGTTTTCTGTGAGGCAGTGGTACCACAATTTTCGAGACAGCCCATTCGTACCGAACGAAGGAGATACAATATACCGGGACTCTGGCTCGAAGTGCAGGAGTAGGGCATTAGATGCCCCTATAATAAAAAAAATACCTAGAAAATTTTAACATTTCAATCTTATTACAATGTCAGTAGTAGTATCGTTAGTTAATTAAATAATCAAAAGTAAAATCTTGCTTTGTATTCGTGTTGAATACTAAATTAGGTTAGTTCTAGCTTTTTGTTATATTCTAATTCTAAATGCCGTCAAATTGGATTGACGACGAGGCTAATTGGTAGACGTAAATTTAAACTTTGATATTTTAAAACTTTAACTCAGTTGTAAAGTTAATAGAATAAGTCTATTTAGTAATTCTACCTTGATATTTTGTAATTTTAAATTATACATAGTTGTGGCCTGTTGCTAGAATAAAATTAAGGCTTAACTGTTTCAAAGTTAATCAGTTATTGTCGTGTAAAATTTAAAAAAGCAAAATGGCCGACTTACATCATTTATCATCAGTAAAAAATAAAAATAAATTATTGTTAAAAATATTGTAGCGCACAAATCATTCTTCATTTGTTCGTCCATTCATTATTTTAGCTGTCAAACGATGCTAAACTTTGATCTACACATAAAATTAAAAACAATATTATATTTTTGGTTGTGTTTTCGTTGCCAATGATAATAGTCAAGAATACAATATTAATTTTACTTTATTATTCTATAGTTTCGTGAACATAGATGTTTTTAAAATAAATTGGTACAAGCGAATAAAAATATTTTGTCTTAATTTACGTGATTATTACTTTCAAACTAACCTGAAATAATAATTATACAGATGAGATAATAATTGTCATATTATCTTTGCCCAACAGAAGCTAAATCTGGAAAAGCAGTTGGTGTTGACGCTAGTTGGGCATTGGGAGTAATCGCCGGCATTGCTGGTACTCTTGTGGTGATTGTAGTGATTGCTCTTCTGGCTAGGAGAAGACAGCATCAACCCATGCAGTATGAAGGTAAGGATCTTTTACTATTATTTGTTAGTGACCGCTTATCTATACGGGAAAGCGAACATTTTTGTATTCTTGTCATTTTCTTAAGGAATCTGTCGTTAATGGGATTTAAAAATAAAATACCAAGACTCAAGTTGTCATAAAATGAACAGTAAAATTGTTTACACGGACAAAAATATTTGTTTCAAAAAATACAATATGCTGTAGATACAGGTATTGGAACTTAAAACGTTGGCTAGGGTTGTCTAAACCTGACAACGATGTACGTATAGGTATGTAAAAGTAATACACACGCATGTATTGAGAAAACATAGCAAGAAAATAAATATGAAGGCTCCCCTGATACCCATACTGAAAATTGGAATGCAACGAAGCATAAAAAATATATCGTATAAAGTATGATTGCTCAAATTGACAGAGGTCGATGAATCATTTATGTGTACATGATTGTAGCGTGTCCAATTTTGATAGATGCTATGAATCCGACAAATAATAGTATTTAACAGACCGTTAGCGTGTGCAATGCCTATAACTTAGAATATAAACGACACAAGTTTGAATTTTACGGCGAAATTGTCGCCAGATAGTGGCAAAGTAATTTTCCTCCGCCATTCTCACGTAATGTAACAATAATTTAATACATAACACCTTCAAATAATACATTTTCAAACTTGAAATTTGTAATTTGAAAGTGAAATCGTTAATTTTGTTTAGCGGTAACGGTTTATGTTTTAGTGACGTGCCTAATGCCTTTTTATTATCGATGTCTCGGATAGGTAATTATTTTCAGGGTAATATAAAAGCAATATAGAGGTTCGTACCTTCGACCACAAATAAATCGAAATTGCTTCGCTGGGCAGGTTTACTGGCGAATAGCGGTGGATTCTGTCGCGTGACTGGAATTTTTGAACGCCTCGGACGGCCCGGCTGTGGGCTTCACTGCATTTGAAATGTGATTTATGTCCTTTTGCATTTGGAATGAAATTGCAGATGTTCCGTCTGCCGATGGACGGCGACGACATCTTTATTAACTTTCTATATTATTAAATAAATTGTCTTTCAGACATTTCACTGCTTGTGCCACGTAATGATACTTTTACGTGATATTTGTGAAATGAATGTTTTACGAGTAATGTTTACGATTCCCAGTAATGAGATTGGTTGGTTTATTAACTTGTGGAATATTTTATTTGTTGGTTTCGATTTTTTATTGAGTTCTTCTTCGTTTATATCAGTAATACATTCTAACCACAAGACATAAAGGGTTGAGACTAGCAACCCTAAAACCTATAATCAGTTTATAACCTTAACTTTATAACACAAGACGGCGCCCAACATTTTCCTAGAATATCCTATCATCCGAAAATTGAAACGCCGACAACTACTTCAGAGCATAAACTCAGCATATTCCCTATACAAACACGCGTAGAATGGCAACCTTGACTATGCCAACAGTGGAGCGGGAGCCACGTGTTATGTGAACAAATATTCTAACCGCTCCGTCAACAGAGGAACAGTGACGAACAGACATAGCTCGTTCTAAGATGGGTAGAATGTCATGCAACCACTTCATTCGGCCCGCAGTAATAATATTAATGGAGACAAACAAGAGACAAGCCTGTGACGGTAAATAACAGACTTGACATGACGTCTCATATAATTTTCATAACGTTTATCATGACTATATTTGACATTCTCAATGTATTTGATATAATGAACATAATTATACTCATTATTCTGATTTGCCGAAACCACTAACTCACGTTGTGTAGCTAAAGTATTCCTACCACTATTTACTACTATAGTACCTTAATGCGTTGTAGGGCATGCTCTCAGAAAACTGTTCCACTTTCATAAATAGCGTTCTCATAAATCGATACGTATTGAAAAGGTACTTATTAGCATTCGATTTCCACAACCTACTTTTGTAATAATCAGAATGATTTATTCTTTTCCTTGCCTTTAGCTATTAAGATTTAGTATAAAAAACTGCTATTGTTAGAATTCGCGAGCATGAAAAGTTATGTTCGAAAACTTTGTAAGCAACAAACGTTTTCACAGAAATAATAGCCTTTTAGAAATATGGTGCAATAAAAACATTTACCTATATCGAGAAAAACATTCGTTGTGCCAGCCTAGTGCCAGGTGAATTTAGGACCTGAGTTCTAAATGTCGTGCCAGACAATCATATCGTTATATCGACACTGAAATCATCGATATCGATTAAGCTTTTGTTTATTCACTTCACTAAAAGTACATGACGATAAGTGGGTACTTTTTTAATGGGTATGGATGAATATTCGCGGATTAATTATGTTGATGAATGATAGTGATCAGTGGACTAACAGATACATCTGTACGGGCATCCAGTCAATGCATCCAATACGGGCACGTCAAAAGATTCACGGCTTCGTTGATGGACTTGTAATCTACTCGATGCACTCGGTGTCGAACTACCCGTTTGACTTTACGCCCTCTGGCCGACCTCGCCGTCAACAAAGACGGTGCAAACTATACCCTTCACAAAGCAGTCTTCATGCCATTAAATAATGATTGATGTGCACGTCGATTTCAATATTTTTAAACCAATTTCACGTTCACAGTTCACCTTTGGACGTGCGATGTATACACTATAATTTATTTTACTTTATTTTAGCTCCTATGCAGACGGTGAAGGCGTACAAAGGCGCGATACAAAGCACCAACCATTCTCCGGTTCAGCCTGACGATAAAAATCCTGATGTAGTGCCTCTGGGTAAAGGTAATATAGGTAGATCGATTTTATTCATCTCAAAATGTTTTGTTGCCTTTTTAAATTTGATTTGAAATTAATATTAACCGTATGGTCTATCAATAATGCTTTATAAACTTATTTCAAATTCCGAAATTGAGTTCGAGTAATAGAGATTTGTAGTTATAATGGTTTAAAGTATTTTTATAAGTAAAGATGTCAGTCTTTGTTTTTGATTTATTTGTTACTTAGACACAATGCATAGCCATACAAAGTCCACGTCGAAAAGAAAAGTTTTAATGTAATTCTTAAGTTTAGATTGATCACTGACCACTTTATCAAGATAAAAAATCTTTTTTTATTACTCTTGTGATGTAACTTGCATTTTAAAAGTTATATAACTTTGATTGATCAATCATTTGTTCCATTAATCAGATTTCAACAGTGCGCGGGACTTAGAGCGGCCCCCTGAGCCCCCGCCTTATGGGACAGTGATGTCTCCTCCCGTGGGGTCTTCACGTAGTTCTAACAGTTTGCATCATCACGACATGCGGCCTGTCACTCCGCACACACCGATCACACCTGCGTCTGATGCCCATGTGAGTATTAAAACTTAAAAATACGATTGATAGAATAAAAGTGATTGACAGATTAAAAGGTTTTTGTACGAGTAACTTGTAAAGAAAATATGTTTGAAATAGGCTGCGAAATATTTCTGCTGTTCATTTTTACATAACCTTTCCGTTGAGAATAGGTCCGTAAATTAACGGTTTGTTTTTTAACCTTTAACAGAAAGATCGTATTTAATTTTAAATTAAGCGCGATAAGCAATTTTAGATCGCGAGTAATTATTAATTAGAGGTTGAAACCCTAATTAGCGTTGAGAGTTATTTTTAACACGAATTTACTCAAGAGTTATATTTTTCTTTGCAAATTTTTGCTGAGTTGGCGAAATATAAAGATTATCTTTTTAATTTTACGCTTATTGACAATTGGCTCACCTGACGGTTTGTGTAATATTGATTTAATTAAATTGGAAATTATTAATTTCAAGAGTGGTGAAATGCTGTTATTGTTCGATGAATAGGGGTCATTATTATAAAGTTTTATTACTTATTAGACACTTAGATACATAATATATTGTGATCACTATAGAAAAGTGACTAGCAAAATATCCCTAACTTGTCTTTTCCGATATTTTTTGGACAAATAAATCTAATTTCAACCTTTCAACTCAGAGCATCGGGACACTGGCAGAAGATCGTCGTAGTGTGACAAGCGGGACGTTCTCCAGACGGAGAGAAGTCGTCACAACTAGAACGCCTTTGCTAGCAAACGCGAGAGAAAGTTGTGTCTAGGCTGAATTATAGGAAATAAGTCCTTTGAGTCAAAGGGATCATGTTGCACGTTTATTTTCTAGAATATTTTTTTACTATCTAGAGATAGGTCTGTGATACGTCTTAATGTTGTTTTAGAATATCATTTTAAGTTTAATTTCTTACCTGCTTTCGTTATCAATTGATGTATTTTTGTAGATATGGAATCGTTTCCAGTTTATCTAACGCAAAATGTTAGAAAAATATTCGAATTGAAGTTTCTATATTGAATTTTATTATTCTAATTCGCGTGGTTGTATTACAACTTATTTTGGTACTGTTTTAGTAAAATATACGGTTTTATCGTTTCGACATAATAATATTCCTCGGATGTGAACGATTGATATTTTTGTACATACATCGAAAAAAATTGTGAAAGACTGTTCGAACTTGCTCCCTTTGACACAAAAAAAAACATGTAAATTAAACAAAATGTTCGTTTTATAGTCAATATTCACTTTCAAAAAGAGATATATCTATCTAAAAGTGTAGGTAAGTGTAATTAAATGTTCTAAAAACTGCAATTATTCTGTAATAGATTATATATATTACTACTGACGGTATACAAATAATGTATATACATATCACGATATGTTTTATTCCTTTTTAATGCTGAGCAAATAAGGTTGAATTTTACTTGAACAGAGTAAATTAGGAGTATTTTCAAATATTCAGAAGTAGAAGAACATTTAAATTTTCCTCTCGAAATACATTTCAGTACTTAGCAAATATAATAATATCTACCTACGTATTTGTATAAAAACATGGACAAATCTAAATTTAAACTATGTAATCATTTTTTCCCAAGAATGAAAATTATAAGAAGCATAAGTAGCTTTTGAATATATTTATTATATTATAAATATTCTGATATCTTACTTTGTTATAATTAGGTATCGCCCACGTCGAAATAAATATTATCCTCTGAACAGCAATTTCGGAAATATAACTAAAGTCTATAAGACTTGTGGGAGGATACGTGATTAAACTGACAATAGGTGAAGGATCAGATAATGTATCAATGAGATTGTGTAAAACATTTTTTTATAAGAGTATTTTTTATGGAGCTCCTTGCTCGGGCTTCTCCATTCGAGATTACACTTAGGAACACGCGCCTGGCTTCACTTACAGACATATAGACGGGCGATGAAATTGACGTTTCAAAATGCATAGATAAGGATTAATTGAACAACAATGCGTTGATTTTGACTTTTTAAAAGTAAAAATCATACTTTACTTTAATTACAATAGTTATAAATTGTAACTGGTCCATTTACTGGTTTCTTTGGTTTTTTAACACGAAAAATTTGACTTACACCTACTTATTGACAACAGAGTGTGAAGAATATGAAATTGATATTTATATTAACTATAAGATAACACTATCTTGCTTATGATATTAACAAATTTTGTGAAAATCAGTTAAGTTAAAGTTTTATTGAATCATCGTTTTATTTTTAGACTTGTTACCTTTGCCATTTATACAGTACGATTGTATTGTCAAACGAGGAGAGCGTATTTCTTTAAGGCCAGCAAAGAACCTGTATATTCTCTGGTGTTGTGGGTTTCCATGGGCGGCGCTGATCGCTTACCATCAGGGTGATTCGTCTGCTCGTTTGCCTAATACTCCATAAAACAACAGAAAAGAAAAGATAGAGAAATTATGGGCTTAAAAGGAATAAATCATTTCGTTAGATATAAGTAAATGAAAAAGAAATCTCTTTACAACCTACATTGTGCATGTGTTCATTATTTCTGTTTCCCCTAAAACTAAGTGTCCTTCTTAAAATATGTGTAGTTTCAATTTTATTTAACGAACATTCACACAAATGTTCTTTATTATTTAGTATCGGTTTTGTTACTCAGAATTTATAATAGAATGTTCATATTAATTTAATAGTTATAATAATGTTATGTTACGCATAAAATACTACTTTTTTCTTTACATAATTACATTTTTGTAGCAAATTTTATAAATGAAATATTTTTGTCCATAAAGTTTCAAATTGTAAATATATTTTATACTTTCTGAAACTGGCTCAATAATGTTATTATTATATTAAAATATCATAAATTATTAATGTTGGTGAAGTTACAATTGTTTAATAATATGAGGTTTGTATTAATTTTGTATAAACTCACCGTGTTAAAGCAATTTATAGTTTTGAATGGAATGTAGACAATAAAACATGTTATCGATATAGTTCTGTTATTTTAAATGTATATTCAATTATAATGGAGGAATTATAGCTACAGGTACAATTAAAATTAAATATAATTTCGTTAAAACTAGTAAAAGATATTTTAAAATTATACTTTTTAAACAAAAATAAATATTCCAAACTTATACATAATATGTTCCATTGTTATATTCAACTGTATGTTCATATAAGTACATTTGGTTTGAGTACATAGAATCTGAGTAAATGTACACAAGTTATGGCCTATCCGACCCTCTTAAGGATTCTTAATCATATTTCCTTGAGGAAGTTTTTCCGTGTCGTCGACACTCGGAATATGGAATGTAAATACCTTTAAGGATACAACATATAGAGAAGTATTTCCTTCCACTACGTGTCTATTTTGTTCACTCTCACGTTATTCCTCACTACCCGTATCTTTTTTTTTGATAGTAAATTAATGTACATTATGTATAATTTACTGTAGTGCACATAAAACCATTCCTTTTATCCCTGAAGGGGTAGGCAGAGGTGCACATTTGTGGCACTTAATGCCACTGTGCAATGTAACACCCGGGCACAGTTCTAAAAGTATAGTGATGCGTTTCAAATTTCAACTTATTAGGAAATTGTATTCTTTTTTATTGCGTAACTTATTTATATTTACGAATTAAGTTGTTTTATTTAGAAAACATAAAATCATTTCTCCTCAATAAACATATATTTATCATACGTCACAACTTGAATGTAATTAGATTATAAGTAAATTATTATAATTGAACTTTGAATTTCTATAAATAAAATTAATTAAATGAATACACTGTGATGCTATAAAGTTTATAACTCTCTAAATTATGAATTACATTCATAATTTTTGTATAAGTAAGTGTAAATAATAAATTACGAATGTGTTTTCGGTTTTAGGGTCAAATTCAAAAACCCTGATGAAATACTATAGAAAAATTTGTGTATTGTAAATAGTACTAACTTATATGTGAAGAAATATTATAAATATAAAAAATGAATGTTAATCGATTCCGCTAATTTATTTGCTATATTGTTTTATGTAACGTTTTACTTATAATTTCTATTATCAAAATATTTTCTACTGTCATTTTTTAAATTTTAAAAATAGTTACAATCGGAGACAGTTACCACTTACTGAATGCATTATACGTTTTGTATAATACGAATCTACTTAAATTATAATTACCCAAATAATGAAATGGTGAAAGTTTCCGATTGTGTCTCTTTATACACAACTTGGAAGCGTTTTAATATACAGTAATTTCGAATACTTAATAATAAAATTAAAAGTAGCCTGTGAATTAAAAAAAACATACTTTCTTAATGTCTGTTTCAAATCATTGTGTATATAAAACACGTTAAATAAAGAATTATTTAATGTTAAAAGCTGAAATAAATTAAAATTCAAAAGGAAATGTATTTATTATAAAAATTGTAACAGCTTTTTCGTTTCCTGACAGTATAATATAGTTACGAGCTAGATCACTTACAGGCTGACGACACAAAGTGCATTCTTATTCATATATAACATATATATAGGTAGGTACAAACTTCACATGAATTCTTGTCTCGAAATATTCGAGTAATAAAATTCTGTCAGAACACCATTTATAAAATATATTGCAGACTATTAAAACTGTTTCCAATGTATTTATTATTTCTATATAAGTTTCTTTGTTATAGTGTTTTAAAAATTACTCTAAATGTTTATTTAATGTGTTAATAAATTGTATAATTTCGGTGATTTTTCAAAGACTTTTTGACATATCGTAATTATTAAGATATGTGTAATACTTCTTGGAATAAATTTGCTTATCGGCAAATCTATTTGTTGTTTGTCTTTATTTTTGCTCTTTCTAGCTGCAGAAGAAATCAAGTCAGTTGTCTTAAGAAAACGGATTATCAAAATGAGTAACACAAAAGTAATGTGTGACAAGTGGTACGCGTCGATAACGAGTTATATTACCTGTAATAAAGATTTCTACTGTACCGATTAACTTTAAACTGTCAAACACCAAGCGGTCACCGGTGACCGCAACCTATTGTTCTTTAATTGTGTCTATATTGACGGTGCTCGACGAGTTAAAATGAACCTGATAAAAACTTGTATACTCATCTACATAAGTAGGTATTCAAAGGAAACTAATCTAAATACACAAACATTCTATATAAATTCTGCTGCTGCATGAGTAGCAGCGCGACAATCGCCGCGTCGCGGGTCGCAAAATGCTGCTCATGAATGAGCCTCTAGCATGGCTTAAAACTAGTCGAATTTCTAGTCAGTAGTTCAGTCTACGTGAGTAAGCCGAAACATAATAATTTATTTAGTACTAGCTTTTACCCGCGGCTTCGCTCGCGTCACAAAAAGATAAGAAGTGGTCTATGTGACATATACCGATACACAGCGCCATCTATACTAATACTTTTGTTTTCCCTCGGGAATATACATTTTTCCGGGATAAAAAGTACTAGTAGTACTATTTAGTAGTAGTATTATTATTTAATCCGGACTTCTAACTTTACATACATAACATACATAACGTCACGCCTTTTATCCCCGAAGGGGTAGGCAGAGGTGCACACAGAAATAACACCCACTTTTCACTATTTATCTTATGAGTCCCATGTAATAGGGGTTTACTTCTGCATAAAAAAACTTTACTTCTGCAAAAATTCAAAGCAATCGGTTAAGTAGTTACGGCGTAAAGGGGAACAAACAAATAAACAAACTCACTTTCCGGTTTATAATATTAGTAAGGACGTCTCACGGAAGTTACAATACAAACATTCTACATAGTACAAATAAATAAAAAACATCACACTCCCGATTTCCTATGTTCATTTTGTAGCATTTTATTTCTGTTTTCAAGTAAATGAGTGCCTCTGAAGTGTGACGTCACGCTTTGCTTTCACGTGAGCCCTTTGAGTTTCATGTTGCACACACTAGCATGCCATGTATAAACCATTTCCCAGGTGTAAACGAAATGTGATGGCAACTATTAAATAGATATACTATAAACAACTTGATTGTTGCTCTCGTATTTAAATCTAATGACTTATGTTTAGACTTACCTACTTACCCCTATTGCCATATACGGGGCACTATTCCAGACTCCGTTCTTCTATTGAGATTTTTTTAAACCTAGTAATACTTTGCCCGACCCGGGAATCGAATCCGAGACCCCTTGCCCGGCAGTCGCACTTGCGACCACTCGGCCAATGAACCAGTCAAGACTAGTAGAGACAATAACCAAT